AATGACTTACCATGTGCTCATTAAAATTATTGTACTGACAAACATCATAAAAGAAATATATTGCCAAAGAAAAGAGATTAAAAGACTTACCATTGAATACAGAAGGATGATGTCTAGATAAGCATCTGCTATTATCAAATACTCATTTAGATTATCGTATTGACCAAGTACCTGAATTTAGTAAAAAGACAAAATAGATGCATGTTGGCGAACAAAGAGAAAAAATCTACAAAATCAATATACAAGATACTGAAATCAAGTATCAGGCAAAAAAACAAGTGACTCCTCCAAATAATTTTGGTCACAATTTCAGATTATAAATTTCCCATAGGAACATTTAAGAGTATGCAAGTGCTACCTGCATTGCCCCCAGAACTAGTGCAGAATAAGTGACAGAATATTAATTTAATATGAAACTCTCAAATCTAATCATTCCCCCAAAGAGACTGAAGAAAATGACACAAGTTATTGGTCTTGAAATGGTATCTCAAAAGAAAAATGAAGTGGCTCCCCATAGTTGTAAATATTGCAGGTTTCTCATTGATACCAATAGCAAATTGAATTAGTCTAGATATTAAAAGTAGACAAAAGACAAAAAGGTGAGCACTTAAAGAGCAAGCTAGGTGGTTGGTTGGACTATTGATTTTTGTAATAATGTAGAAAGCAAGAGAGCCTCCACTACTCACTCAGGGTCAACCTATTCAGCTCAGGTGCCATTGTCAAGGCATATGTATTTGAAAGTTCCCAATAGAGAATGATAAAGATGAAGGCATATCAGTGCAGACAAAGCACCAGGGAAGCGATGCCAGGCTGCTGCCTGCTGGGAAGGGTTGGGTCAGTTCAGGACAGTTCTGAAACACATACACAAGACAAATAAGAAATCGTTTTTTAAGTACCGCATGCAATAAGATAACAGAAACTGCATCATTTATTCCTAGTCAAGTGATGTGAAAGATCACAATTCTAATTGAAGTACAGGCTCACACAAGCCAACATATGCAAGGCAAACCATGCATATAGCTACAGGAAACTATAAACTTGGATCAGCATCATGGCTTTTACTTCAACCCATACAACTCTTAGCATTTTAATTGAAGTCACAACACTAAGTGGATACAAACACTCCGAGCCTGTTTTGTGATTGCATAGTATGGTTGGTATCATATGGTAATCCAAAGTCATAGGAAAATGAAACTAATGACCAATCGGTTTTGCCCATAGATCATGAATTATGTGGAAAGCAAGGTTTGCAGTTTCATGAACCGATACTGCACCAATCAGGGCTCAGACTGGTACGTATTGAGTTTAAAAAAAAAAACTAAACAGGTTGAAAAACAAATAAATGGAGACTACTCAGTACAGAGCTATCAGCCTGCAATGGGCAGTATCAATGCTGTACCAGATGTACCGAGCGGTACAGGTCAGCATACTGCCCACTTTACATTGGTCCATGTACCGGTAACATGTCAGATTGATTAATACTGCTCATACCATATTGTACCAGGTGATATTGCAAACCACAAACCTTGGTGGAGATGATGATAAGTTGAAGTTAAAACTTAAAAGAATGATAACTTTCAAGTTAAAAACAAAAATAGCAAAAGAATCACAAGACAACCAAAGCTAAGTTCATATGAACTAATTACAGTAACTTAAGCCTCAACCTGTAGATCATGCAAACCAAAATGCAGAAATTATTCACACAAATATGCAACAACCAGAAGTACACAAAAAGCTAAAACTCATTCAAAAGGAAAGAAAAGGAATCAATAGTATATATATATATATATATATATATATATATATATATATATATATATATATATATATATATATATATGTGTGTGTGTGTGTGTGTGTGTGTGTGTGGTAAAAGAAATGATAAGAAATTAGAAAAAAAGGAATGCATATGGCTCAACATAAAGAACATTTAACCATAAGAGTGAAAAATATATATATCATTTTTGTTCATAATTTATAGATCAACATAGAGAATCAAAAACTCAGTAAATTGACTGCGAAAACACACACAGATACTGAAGAACAAAATATTAACTTGGGTAACTGTTCTTTTTGTTAGCTTTAAATAACTGAGAAAAGGTGGAGAGATGTTCACCACGTTCAAAAAAGAGCTGCATAAAAACGGTTAAACCTAGTGAACTGGCTTTCTAAATTCAGCATAATGAAAGAAGCTGACTGCATTACAGCAGAGTAATCTACATACTGTCCTTATGCATTATGTATAAGCAAGAGAATCCAACAGAAACAAGAAATATGCAATGAGCAACTGAAATGACCTAAACTACCTGCATAATTCTTCTCATTACAGCACAAACAGAACTGAGTGAGTGTTGGCACTCGTAGAGTTTGTGTCCAAGGAGCCTATAATCCAAATGCTGCAATAGGACAGTAGATAAAATGACCAAGTGGCAAAGACAAAACATGAAGAAAAATATTTACATACAGCTCACAGTTCATAGCTGACGTACAGATTCAACTGACATATCTTTGTTTTGTTCAATAAAATCTATAATTTCCACTGCATTGTTGCTGATAACATCAGCTGGAAGATGTTTAAGGAGATAATGAAGAACTACGGAGACACATGAGAACTTCCTGGTTGAAACTGATAGATCGCTTCCCACACCAAACTCCACAAGTATATTACTGGCATTCTAGTTTTCAAGAAACTGATATAAGGTCACTAGATCCAGGATAATTATTTGAACCATAATAAAATATCATTTATGGAATTAGTAGTGAACACTTGAAAGTAGGCATTTCAAATAATAAATCTAGGATGGCCCTGTCATTCGATGTAAATCCTTATCAATTAAAAAGTTTGTCCACTAGAAAATTATTCTACACAAGTTCAATCAACCAAACAAAAGGATAACACAAAAATAAACAGCATAAGCCAAAATCACATCAGTAGCCAGTTTTAGCATTAAAATATGATAGTAAGCTTTATCAAATCCATATTATTAGTTGAAAAATACATCTGATTTGGACAGAAACATACTCCAATATAATGACTAACTTAAATATATATATATACTAGATCAGATAAGCAAAATTCCCCAATGAATCCCCAATATAATGTGATCCAACGGCCATTAGGTAATAAGCAGGGACACAATTTCATGTTGGAAGTTAAAGCTTAAAACAACATAACCTGCCAAATTTACAGCCCACAATGGTATATCTCACCTGCATAAATTATGAATCTGAAAAGGCATAAAAAGTACTTAAGATCATTGCTTGGTAGAAAGCTATATCAAAGATGACCTTTCATGATAGTACCAAGAGAGCTAGTTTATTATGGGCTATATTTCATTAAATAAGTGTCTTGACAAAGGAAAACTAACTATGTTTCTTGGAAAAAACCCAAAGGGGATGAAGAGCAAGCAGCCAGTCCCGTTGGCTGCTTAGTTGGTTTCATGTAAAGTATCCAAAGTTATAGAACTTCCAATCTTATACAAAAGAAGAATCGGTCCTCGATGCGAACTCTGATCTTACAAGAAGAGATGCATTACTCTTCAAATTTCAACAAGATTACTGGTCTCCCTTTTAATCCACAACTGTACAGCTTCCCAATCAATCCATGTTGTTATGAACCAGGTTTCCGGGTTATAATCAAAACCCATGGATTATAACCTCAATCTACAAATATAAATACACAATTAGATTTATTTTTAAAGAAAAGTCCAGATCCACAATAGCCATCATATGTAATAATACAGCCACCAACGCTAGAATATCATTTATAACTTGCAATATGGAGTTGGATCTTCAAAAACCTTTGTTTCTCTAATATATTCTAAATAGCCACTTCTAAAATGGTTGCATTTTAAGAATGAAGTGACTACCCGAAGAGAGCATAATCAACAATGCTTTGCTCAGGACTAGTCTATTCTCTCTCTCTCTCTCTCTCTCTCTCTCTCTCTCTCTCTCTCTCTCTCTCAGTCTCACACAGACACACCTGCAGTGGGGAGCAGATGAAGCACGATAGATATCCTTCTATTCATTAAAAAAATTCCTTGCCATCTTTCTTCCGCTGCGCCCCAACCAACACACACCCACACATTTCTTTCCAACTGCAAATGTCCAATGATTGCAACTGCTGCAAAAGACTGCAGCATATCTGCTGGTGCTGATTTTTTCAAATAGGGTGAGTTCAGCCTCTTCTTCCTGAGGTAGTCCAATAATGATGGTCTGACCATGCTTGTCACTGAGGCATATACAGGACACATCAACATAGGATCGTGTATCTGGACCATGAATCCAACAAACACCATGTTAGGATCGACCTTCCTAACATGGTTCAAGTATCGACACAGGACCTACCACATGAAATCATCATATGATAGGATTAGTTAGTTTGTTATTCTAGGGCATGGTACATATTGATTATGGAATCACTTTCTTTAAGTTGCTTGCCACATGGTATAAGATAATCAGGTCTTAGTACAGAATAAATTTACATCATGATCAATACAACAATTGAAGATCGAAAAAATAAACTTTTTTTATATAGTATTTAATGTTTTTGTTATTTTGAAAATTTTCTTACATGAATCTAAAACAAGAATATAAACAGGTATTGTCTATATAATTGGTTTATGATTATACAATTAATTTCAGAGACAAAATAATATAAATTAGGAAGAATAACCTGGACTGATCTGGGTAGGAAAATGCTGGTAACAATGGATGCAACCAAGTTTATAAAAAGAAGTATATTTTAAATGATCTTATATCAAGCAATAACTAGAGGTAAGAAGCATAACAGAAAAGCATTAATGATCAGGATTATAATTCTCAATATGACGTGATTAATTCTAAATATGATAGATAGCTGCACCTATTGACCTGGATCATACATTCAACAAGTTCAACTTGTTGATTAAAAAACTAGGGAGATTGCTTACAAGGTGACAGAAAATATGAGGTGTTGGATGCAGCATTTATAAAGGATCAACTTCTAAAGCCTTTATGAGCATTTGTTGAATTTCAGAATGCATCTAAAATCATTTCTTTTGGTATTGATGGTTTTAATTTCTGCTAGTTCAAAATGGCCTAGAATATTGCTTCTGACAATTAGTGTTTGCCTCTCTCTCTCTTTCGCTTTAAATGCTTCTTATCATCTCACACATGCATGGCATGTGCTTGAGACTAGTGTGCAATATGCACAATGGGAGAGTTGTTGGTTGCAGATCAGATCCTCAACAAGACCTAGCATGGATATTTTATATTCTGAGAAGACGCAGCAGAAAAGTTCCTGTTCCAACTGTTCCAGTTCAGACTCATCTGATGCTGCAGCCTACTAAGCAGGGCACTTCGCAATATACTTCTACATGAGCCAGAAATTATCTTATAGGGTTTGATCTACAACTTCTAGAATCTAGACAATACACATTATTAAAAATCTTCAGCTATAGCGCACAAAAAGGGAAGCAGAGCCTTTGTTCTGTTTTTTCTCCTATCACAACATAGAAAAACTCAGGTAAAACACAAAGGCATTCAGATTTATCTCACCAAGGAACATATCACAAACAAAACATAATGCGATGAGAACCGCAATGGAATAGGTATCTTCAAAAATTTGGATAGGTTATCATCAAGGGTGATACTGATCATGAATGTGCAGCATACAAAATAGTTCAAATAATTAAAAAAAATTAAATGTGCAAACCTGATAACCTTCGGTAAATATACACTTCACAATCCAGTCAATGGCAGGTTTTATTAAACTTATAAGAAAATATTTATTCTTGCAGGAATGGTGTCCAACTGTTTCTTTATCCAAAAGGACCCGTCTCAGTAGAATAGAGATGTCCCCGAGAGACATGATCAAATATCCTATTTAGAAGAAATAAGTATCAAAACTATGCTAAAGCAAGTTCTTATGGAACTCTCTATATAAAAAAGGCAGGAAGTACTTGATGCAGAAATCAAAGAGCATTTCTACTTTGTATGACAACAAAAAGCTTACACGACAAATCTGACACACTAGCGGTATCTCAATGTCATATCATTGGACATATACATCAAATGAGGTTGGAACATCATATAACCAATCAAAGTTCAGTAATAAAAAAATGTTGGAGAAAACATGTGATTGATGTGATTGATGCTTGTAGATAGATACTGCATGCCTACACATGTAGGCACATGAATACTCATGCATATGTAAAAATCACTATAATCAAAATAGCTCATTCCACTAAAGCTGGTTGATAAAATTGTATTCCAAATCAAGCAAGAGTTTATTAACAATATAAACAGTAACAAGGAACTTCTTTTGGCTTGTGGGTCCACTTATGAAATAGCAGAAAAGTAGCATAATTGCTTCTTGAACAAATTACATCATGGCAATAACAAAAACTTATTGGAGTTTATATTCTTGAAATGAAAAGCTCCAGTGACTCAGGATGATCAGCAAGGTAATCTTTGCAGGAATGTAAAGATCTTTCGAAAGAAAAAGTGGCAAAAGCCTAACAACACACATTAAATTAGGGAAGTGAACACGAAAGGATAAAAATTGACAATTTGCAAATTCTTTCTTACCATCATCTCCTAAATACAACGATCTTGCACAGTGAGCCAAATAAAGATGACAATAGGCAGATACAAGAGGATCAGCCAGTCCTCTCATCATCATAACCAACCGCTCAACGATAGACACAAAACTATCTTCTAGAAAACGCCAACACCGTAAAATGGCTAGCTCCAAATATCTGATATAAAAAATATGCCATGCACGTCATACATTTGCCTCAAGCACACAAAATAAAAGTTCAGCAGCAAAAACATGACAAAAGCCTGCATATAAATGTTATCTGACAAGCAAAAGGTAAATCCAAATGGCATCATTTTACAGCTGTGACCCAGAGATGCAACATTTCGTGCATGTCATGATGCTACAATCTCATGCTAATATCAGCTCCACGAACAACCATCCTAATGAGGATTCTTTTTCTACAATCAATATACAAACCCAAGAGGTCATTCTGGCACAAATGCTTAAGCTCCCTTGGGAAGTAGCCACATAAAACAAAGAAAGAAGGGGGAGACACCTCAGTCACGTAGCAACAGCCACATAGGACACATGTTAGTTACCTCCCCTCAGTCTAATAATAGCATCATCTCATAGCAAGCAATGACCCAAAGCATGACCAGACAAGGATTTACTAAATAGCCAGCTTGTCCACAGATGGAAAGGAAATAGACCAAAACTTGCCCACTCTAGTAACACAAAAAGGACCCTAGCTTTAGCACGTGCAAGGATGACAAGAACACTTCCACTGTGACTAACAGCGCAAATGATCAATACAGCTCAGTCCCCATCACACGAGTTTCCAGCAATCTTGTAACTGAAGTGTTACGCCAAAATAAGATCAGCACACCTATCCCTCAGGTTGTTGATCACATTCCTATAACTCTACATGATGACTTCAAAGGTAGTATTGGAAAGAAAGGACAACCAGCAAATGGTTAGAAACTCCAAGGAAAACCGAAAGAACTCTAAAATAGGAGGGAAGAAACAACACGCAAGATATAAGGCCAGATACATCTCTCATAAATCCCCATGAGCCTTTCACGTTTCAACTACAACAGTTGTTGCCTCCTCCATGCTAAAGTCATCATCAATTACCACCAAAGCATCATCCTCATAGCTTTCCCATCCAAGCCCATCGCCATCCATAATATTGGCAGCATCACCAGTAACAACTTCAAGCTGAAGGTTGGCTGATCCATGACATGTCATAAGATGATAAATAGCACCTCCTTTAGATAGGAAGGGTACAAGCAATAGAAACAAGAAACCTTCGCATGTAAAAAAGGAGAAAATGACAGATGGACACCCTAAATTGGGTACCTAAAAACTTGGTATCAAAAACCACCTTGCATGTGTAAGGTTCAAAGAAGACCTCAGCACCAGACCGAAGAGAGTAACAGTGCCCATAAAAACATTTGACCAGGGACCCTACAATTAATTGATTTATAATATGCAGAACCATGCACACATGGCACCTAAGTATAATTTTGCATAAATGTGTGAATAACTTAACATGTACAACCCACAGGACTGAGATTAATGTGATACAAAAGACCAACTGAATTTTACATAAATAAAAAAAAAAAGTTTTAAAACTAAATATTTCAGTTTAACTATCATAAAATACAGGGATAATCATTAATCATATCAATGTGTGCCATAGTATGGTAAGGGACCTCCACTGACCATAAAAAACCAAACATATTGCTGAAGGGTGTATTGGAATGATACAAAGCGCATACTAACACTCCCCATAATGACAAAATATCCAGTATGGTAAGGAGCAAAATGCACAATTCATGATAGTTGATAATAACATGCTATTCAGTACTGACACCTTTGCAGCAGGATCATGCAAGTCGATACATGCTAAATTTTGACCCAAAAATGCACTAGAGGAATTGCATGGCTCAATATGATATAGGACAACACACTTAGCCTGTCTCAGCAGGTGCCACCCATGCAAACTAGCACAACAGTCATATCAGGCAAGGCAAGCCTTGTGAGTAAAAAAGTGGATGTGTCACGCCCCGTGTCTCGGCTCTCTAGGAATGGCACTAAAGTCCCATATTGAATTGTGCAAATTAATTTGACAAGCATCTAGGTGGATCTCCAGAATGAACTCAAAACAAAAGGTGTGCTTGCACCGTTGCACGTTTATGGTACATATCAGAACCATGAGAATTGATTAACCAAGTAATTAAAAGAGTATTCAAACGAAAGTACACCACAAAAGGTAAATAAAATCAAGAAAAATCAGAACTGGAAAGGAGAAAGTAAAAGAAACTTACATACGCGGAACAAGTTCATGAATTGAACCAATTTTGCAAAACCAATTGTAACAAGTCTCTTTTGCCTCAGAACAAATATCATCAGATGTAAAGTTCTCTGCATACTCAAATAATTAAAATTTTAAATTTATGTATAAGTAGAAAAGCATCAAAATTGTTAATTTAAGCCATCTTTAACATTTCTCATGAAAAAAAATTTCTTAGGCCTCCGTACAGTTACATGCATTAAAAAAAAAGCCAAAATTGATTTAAAATAAGTTGCAACTGTAACTTCAAATAGCTACAACATATCCAGTAGCTAGAATAAATAGAAAGATTCTTCTACCAAAGTAAATGTCAAATACTAAACAAGAGTTAAGCTAACCTAGCCATATTTCTGATTTGCCTTCAATTCTTCTCAAAGAAAAAAGAAATACAAATAGAAGAAAAGAAAAGAAAACATCTGCACTAAAATATATCATGTAGAAATGCAATTTTTCCACATTAATGTCAGGGATAAAGATTTCAATAGCATTTACATCATGGTCTCATCATATACAAAGAGAAAAAGCACATTGAGTCTCGGATGTGTTAACAAAACATTACACCAACATACCAATTTGAGGTTAACGACAATATATTATGATCTGCAAATATAAGTACCATGCTTAAGAAAAATTCCAAATAAAACATCTCTAATTAGATAAATGTAGACAGTTTAGTCAAACAAAAATTTTAGCAACTATGATTTGCATGGCACTATAACAATAGCAGCCAAATCTTCAGATGGCCTTAAAAGTAGGATGAAAAGGCCGACAATGTTAAGATATTGGCATATCTTAAAAGCCATAAAGACATATATATACTTGAAGAAAGAAAAATATGTCAACATTCACCTGGCAAAGAGCATACTGGTGTCCTGTCATCAGCATATTCGGTCCGCTTCTTAATTCGTTCCCATACCAAATTGCCAAGCATATCCATTACATCTACAACCAATGTAAATAATGTAGGATAAAATTGGCAAACAGAAGTGTCTGTTAGAAGCCTGGCCACCTGCAAGAAGTTGAATAGGATTATGACATAAGCATAGTGTCATGCAACATGTTAGAGAACCCAATTCCATGTAAGCATAATGAGCATCCTAGAGACTTTATATTCATTCTACATTAATTTTTAGCACATCTTATGCCTGAACAATTACACAAAAAAATCTGACAGACTTGTGGAAGCAGCTCATTCGCTATTAGTCTAATTTCTCTTCACTATGTTACCTGCTTTCTTCTTCTTTTTTCTCTTTGCACAATGCCCTGGACATTGTGGCCAGTTGTATTGCACTATGCCACTTCTTCATATTCACCATAGGCTGACCAAAAATACACACTTTAAAAATTTATTCATGCACCAGCATGTCATATGTTCTATGGGCTAGTTTTGATTTTCGCTGTAGTCATAGATCATCTGACCATGTCAACCACACTAATTCTGGAAAACTTCAGCAAAAACCATAATTTATTAGCAAGTATCTTACTATCTTCAACAAAAAACAATTCACAAGTTATTTTCTAGTCACTCTAATAAGCATTAACTATGCATGATTCCTTTTTACTGTATCAAGAAGAAAAAAAGTCTTTCTACTAACAAACCTATGAAAAAGCACAAAACAGCATCTATAGATTCTATACAACAAAAATCCCATCGCATTGGGTCACCACTATTACAAGAAGACAATGAGAAAAAAACATAAGCCACTAGCATATGACAGATCCTCAGCATATGCCACACATATGAATAGAAATATAATATGGACACAAATATATATATATATATATATATATATATATATATATATATATATATATAATATTCAGTTACAACTTACAAGACCAAAATGAATTAAACACTTCCTAGAAAATTTTATAATATATAATCCACAAACTGAATGGTTTCAACATTTATTCTGATATTAATCATAACGAATTTTGACCACACTAAGTGAACGATAATGCAGTTAATGGATAGCCTGTGATGAGGACAGATGTAGAGTAAGATGAGTCAAATGTTTCACCAAATAATTTAAATTTCAGTACACAAAATCAGTTATTCAAATTTCAAAATGCATGCCTTGATGGATAACTTCAAAGCTCTGATGCGATCTTCTGCTATCCATGCCTGATTAATTTCACTCTTAAGTTCTTGTAATCTTGAAACATATTCCTGTCGTGTAATTGCTTTTATCTCCTCTTTCACAGTAGATTCTGGATCATCCAGATCCTCCATGTGGATATCTGCCAGCGTTTTATATCCTGCATTCTTTCCTATTAAACTAAGATATTTCAGACAAGATATTCATATCAACTCATTGACAAACACATAGTTAAGGATTTTTTTTCATTGCTTAATAGCTTTGTACAGATAACAAAATTGTGACAGCAAGATACCTTTGTTGTTCCTCATTATGGCATCCGTGGTCTGCAAACAAAAATTTAGATTCCGTATTACAACATCAAGGGAACATATTATTCACCAACAACCGAACAAAAGTAAGAGAAGTGGCAATTTGTCCATTCCTTTTAAGGAAATGGTTTAGGAATTTGAACCCAGCCAATGAATATTGATTAGTGATGTCCCTACAACAGGGTTACCCAGCAAGGACTAACCATTTATCATTACACAAAGGAATAGAGCAAATATCAATAAAAAATAATTTTTTCTGTCATGGAAACAGTAGTATTACGTACTCTTAAAGTTTGCAACAAAAAAAAAGAAAAACATTAAATTCTAAACCTTGGAACGTAAACATAGGTATCACAGTCACATATAATAAAATTGCTCCTAATTGGATACTCAGTGGCCAAATATCATATCCATTTACAAAAAAGAAAAAGGAAAAATTATTAATTCAGAATGAAAAGAAAATAAAAAAGATGGCATGAAGCTCACCGGTGAAATAGTAATTGTATTGCTGCAGGAGAACTTCTGCATCAACGAACTTTTCAGAAAAATCCATTCTTTTTCTAACAAATTATCGGCTTCTCCTGAGAGCTTACTTCTCAAGGTACTGCAACCATCTTCCCGATCCAGAATGGATTCTGATGCATCTGTGGCACTTTCTCTCAGTGGATCATCAAAACAAACCTCAAAATCAGGAAGAACCTAGATTGCACCGAATAACATCCTGTTAAGAACATGGACTTTCCAAAAAAAATGCTGACATACAAAAATCCAACAACATCATATCTGAATAAAATAAAGTCAAAATCTAGGAAATTCAAACTAAATTGACCTCTTTTTTTTTGGTTGAGCTCATATGATGATCCGAAAATGGTCCATGCTATCTGCACTGTCTGTTTTGAAAACCAAGTTCAAACTTTGCTGGAATCAAACTAAGTGCTCATAGAATGGAAATTTTATGGATTCCTAGATCGCAACCTTATCTAGACAATTTAAGCCTCGGCTGATTCGAACTTGAGTTTGTTAGAGGATATGTTGCACTCCCATGGAGAAAAAAACTAACAAAATGCTCAAGTACTTTTCACCTTTTTCCCTTTCCCTTCTTTTTTTTGTTTCTCCTTTTCATTTCATTAGAACACACATATCAAGACAATCTCAAAATAGCACATTTGGGCAGCTTGTTCCATGCCAAACATCAACAAGCACAATGTGCCACAGTAACTTAAATCTTCAAATTTAATAAATAACTATACGTTCCAATTTAGTAAGTCATGCACATATGGCCTGGCAAACCTAGAAGGCTGTCAAAGCCTTCCTTACAGAAACTATTGACATTCTAATTTCCAGTGGGAAATGAATCCACAGTGAAACTAGTTTTTGAATTGGTAGGTGCATGTATAAGGTCTCAAATTGCAACCTAATCTTTTGGTATCTTAAAACCCCAAGTTTCAACAGTAAATGAACTTAGAAGAATAGTAACATGCTCCAGATGAAATAATCTTCTAAAACCAAATAATTTCCAAAACCATACCATCATGATTCATTATCAACAATCAAAACTGTATACAGTAGCCTTTACGACATTTGACAACGTTTAGGGAAGAAATCGTCTCCAGCTAACAATGTTTCTAGATACATGGAGATTCAGAACATGTTTGACGAATTTCAGAATTTTGGTGTTTCATGAACGCAAACAAGCTAGATACTGGGGAAAGGTAAACTACTTAAGACACTCTTCAAAAACCTCTGTCAAACATAAACAGTAAGGTAATGCTGTCTGTCGTCAAACATAGGGCTCATATTCCAAGTACAGGTGAACAACAAACATCTCGAACCATATTTCCAAAAGAAGACACAGAAGGAGAAGGGAGAGCAAAACGTGAGAGAGACAGCCTCAGACTAGATACGGGCGAATCGTATGAGACACTATCAAGAACCTGCGCATCAATTTAACGGGTTACGCCAGTCCCATAGCAGTTACCGATTGTAAGCCTCAAAATTCACATCAGGAGAACAAGAAATAGGGTTTGGCAACTCGAAATCCAAGAAAAGAGACAGAAGGAGCGAGGGACGGAAAGATGCAAAGAACCTGAGGAGATGACGACCAATGCAATGCGAGGGGAAACCGCAAGCGATCTCCTTGGTTTTGTATAGCCATCTTCAAGAACTTCCAATATCAAATATAAATAGTTGGGTAGTCCATTCGCGAGCTCAAGAATCCTCCATATAGACGAACAAGAAACAAGGTTTGCTTATGAAGAACCCTAAATCCAAGAAAGACACAGAAAGAAAGAAGAAGATAGAGTTCCTGGGGAGATGACCAAGAACCCTAAACCCAAGAACAGAAACAAGAAATAGGGTTTGGTTTTCATGAACCCTGCATCCGAGAAAAAGAGTGAATCTAAATCCAAGAAAAGAGACAGAGGGTGGGGGGAAGAGGCAAGGGCGAACCTGCGAAGATGGCGAGGCGAGCAGGGCAAGCGGGTGGTCGGGTGCGGGTTGCCGGGGGACAGCGCACGCGATCTCCTCGGCTTCGTAATCGCGAGCCCTGAATTCCATATACCTCGCTCCACCACTCGAGTCCTTCCTACCTTCTTCGCTTCCCACCCTGCGATCATAAAAAGCGCAGAATTGGGAAACGGAAATGTCCGTTACGAATCCATGTGCCAATTATATCGCTCTTTGATCAACTAAATATAAGTATTTTATTATACAGAATTCGGAAATATTCTTTCTTTACTGTCAACCTATATATATAGAATTGCGATTTTGAGTCCCATATAGTGATTTCCATCAAAATGATGATTCAAAGGATATACAAGTCCTAACGTGGAGCTAACTCAGATTATTTATTGTCTTTTAGGATTTCGAATAATTCTTTAAATTTTGTGTATTTTTTGAGATAAATTATTCTTAAAACATGTAAATTTATATTAATACCCTAAATATCATTGATTAGCTTTATTATTATTATCATTACCATATGGATTTCTCGATGCGTACAACGGTAAGTGTTGAATATTCGTTTATGATTTCTTGATGCGTAGAGTAACAAGCGTTGAATCTCGTATTTTGATGATAAAACCAATTGATAAGTGTTTATGATTTGATCTGCATTTTTAGTGACGTTGGATGCTTCGATCAGGATGAGATAATTAAAGTAGAAAGAATTGTGTTGGGCTGAAGGAAAACATGTCATATGATTGTACATCGGGCCGGAGGATCGGTCGACGTATCGACAAAAGGCTTCGGGCCATGGATTCGGGCATCGGGCCAAGAAGAGTGGATATTGAGCCAAGAATATCGAAGTTACGGAGTCAACTGGCCGATTGGGCAATAGGGCACAAAAGAGGACGATGCGTCGAATAATCGAACGAAGCGTCGATGGACCAATGACATGCCGAACAACATGATTCATGCTTAGTAATATTTGTTTAGATTGAAGTGTATTTTACATGTGTATGATTAACTGCGATAGCAAGGCATGAAGTAAAATGAAGTCCCAGAGTCAATGACGCGATTTCGTTAGGAGTTCAAGAGTTCGTTGGAAGTCCAGACGTTCGTCGGAAGTTCAGCAGGAATCAGCCGAGAAGTCTAGAAGCTTGTCGGAACTCGCCAAGAAGATCGTCATGAAGTCCAGGAGCTTACCGGAAGTCCGTTGGAACATTACTAGGAGATCGTCGGAAGTTCGCCGGAAGATCGCCAGAAAAAACTAAGACCTAGGGACTTGTTTAGCTTAAGTGTGTCTTAGATTTCGTAGTTAGCATGTAATTGGGATTGGATTTGGGCCAACCTAATTATGGGCCAGTTGGGTCATGTAAGGACTGTGTTAGGCTCAATGAAAGGCCCAAACAGTGACCCAAGAGATGACACCGTTGTGGTATAGTCTTTGAGACTATGTCAGGCGGTGGTACCGCCTAGTGCAGTGTTAGTGTCAGACTGACACTGGCGGTGGTACCGCCTGAACCCAGGAAACCCGAGATGAGATATTTTTAGGCTCCAAGTTTGAATCAACTTAAAGCCTATAAATACCTCTCTCATATAATCTTATCTGAAACTCCTTTCAAAGTTCTAAGTGTTAGAATAGTTTAAGAGAGGAGTGAGTGGAGGTATAAGGGTTATCTCCTAAATCCAGTAAAAGGAGAAAGAGCTACAAGAAAGAGGTTGATCTTTGCCTATAAAGGAAGATCGATAGTGGATGCCGATGGCCTCGACGGAAGAGAAATCGATGAAGTGAATGTAGGTCACGACAACCGAACTATTATAAAATCGGCGCGTTCTTCTCTAATTTGCATTTCTATATCTGAGAAAATTTACTTTACTACAAACCTCTTAACTTGCTTTACATTCACTACGCATCTTCCATCGAAATCGATTTTTATCGTACGAAGATTTTTTGTACTGACGTAATTTTATCGTTGCATTAATTCACCCCCCTCTTAGTACCGACTCTTTTCCTAAAAACAAGAAGATGTATTTATGATAATTTTTTATTTATAAATTTTAATCATTAATTCACCTTGACAAAATTAAAATTTTGATTCGATTTAATGATATCAAGTGGGAAAGAGATATCATGTCAGAGTTTTATTCGAACTCGTTAGTAAGAATTGTCGTTTTGGGTATCAAACATATTTTGCTTGTCTATTCGAATCGATCGATAGAATGATTAAGTATTGGTGTTTTGGAGCGGAAAAAAAGAGAATGAGAAAAGATAAGACAAGTAGAGTAAGATGATAAATGAGAAGAAGAGAAAGCGATTGAAGAGAAAACAAAAAAAGATGATATGAAAATATACCTACGAAGAAAAATAAACGCTACGACAATGATGTTGGTAGCGACATCACGAAGCAACAGCGGTGGCTGTAACATCACGAAGGAGCAGCAATGTCGCGAGATAATAACAATGATAATGTTGAATGTAAGAAGAGGACTTATGTTTGTGAGTCAGAAATTTTCTTATTAGATTTTTTTTTCAATATTGAGTTGGATTAATAATACCATCCGTTTTCTATCATTTTGGATAGTACAACAATCGTGCTTGTATAATGTTGGTCATCTTGAGCTTGCTTCGGACAATTTCATAAAGCTTAGAGCAGGAATGCGTCTAATAAAACCTTTCTGATGATTAAGTTAATATTTCATTATGGGGGACAAAATAAGCTCACAAAGAGTTTGGGAATTCATAACGAGCCTTCGTGAAATAACTTAGTGAAGTTTCTTTCTCGTTCTAATGAGTGTCCATACTATATAAATATTATGCTTGTCTGGCACGCCTAATTATCTCATCGTCACAAGGCAAGAGGTGCTCTCAAAGCCATGGCCATCGTCATGATCGTGAAAACCCTTATTATCATCACTCATCACTACGTACGCATCAAAACGTTGTTCTCAGAGATATATGACCTGAAAGTGACGAGCTTCTTGCAGCATGGAAGCTAATGACATCAAAGTTCATGTGCAATATATTATTATATAAGTGATGGATCTCATGCAGGAACTCATGTTTGAACATCTTCCATGTCTCGAGGTTTAATATGCAGAGTGGACCTGTAAATTCCATTTGGTTGTAACATTAGATGCACCATTGCTGATCGCATCATTAGGCATCATATAGCTCCAATCGAAGCTGGTATTATCTAACAAGTCATCGTAGATGGCAACAATGCATCTTTGGTACACATGAGATCATATCTCATTAAGAACAATGCATCTACAGGTGCATTGAATCCATCGATGAACAACCGCTGCTACTGACGTGAAATAGACGATACAGTGGATGGAAGAAATCGCCAACGATAATTCTTTCTTTCACTACTAATGTCTACGCTTAATCTGTTCCTCTCGCACTGCGATCCACAGCTTTGAACATCCCCCGTAGCACACACTCGGCCATTCAAAAGGTGATGAGCATACCAGTTTGACGTTGGCCTAATGCATCCCAAATGGAGTCAAGAATTCGGTGCAATTCCAACACAAATCCACGAGTCCGGTGCGCCAGAAGAAGCCACCGGATGCTGACATTTCTGGGCCTTCGACTTGGAAACACCCGATGGATTGAATGGTCCACGCTTTCAAGTCAACACTATTAGGAACTCCTCCTTTGCATGGGCCACAATAGTCAATGACTCGCCAACTCGGCTTCCTCACGCCAAACTGCGGCGTACACCGTGGACTTTGAAGAACATGAGGAATCAGTGAAGGAGTGCATATCTGCATGGCATGGCAGATTAACCTGTCAATCTGTTGAAGCTTGAGATGGGCTACCTCAGCTTTTCACAGCTGATTCCATCGAGAGGCCTAACTTCCCATTTGCTTGAATGAATTGAACTCCTGCTCGTGGTTACGTGAAGCAGCTGCCTTGAAGAATGTACCTTTGACCAACCTCTCTTACACGTCCATGCAAATTCTCCCTTATAAATAACCCATCGGGCATCCCATCTCCTTCTCATCACCATCTTCGTCTACCTCTCGTAGCACCTAATGGCCATGAGGTTCTTCTTCGTCGTGGCATTCGCTGTGGCCATGACCACATCTCTCGCCCTCTCCGTTTCCTCGGCGGAAGCGGACGAGCGGCCGGCGGCAGCAGCACCAGCCTCGTTGTCCCGGGGGATCTACTCCGTGATCGCGCAGTACAATCCGACGAGAGGCTCGATGACCTGCGACAGGTTCCCTAGGGTTTGTCGCGCCAGCGGCAGCCCCGGTCCCGACTGCTGTCGGAGGCAGTGCGTGAACGTGATGAGCGACAACCAGAACTGCGGGCAGTGCGGGACGAAGTGCCGGTTCGGCCAAGCGTGCTGCGGCGGCCGCTGCGTCAACGTGATGTACGACCCCAAGAACTGCGGTGGCTGCAAGAAGCGGTGCAAGAAGGGTAGCTTCTGCCAGTACGGGATGTGCAGCTATGCTTAGAGCATGAATCGATCGTCACTGTGCATTCGTAGTTTCTTGTCCTGTTGTATTCTATTCAGTTCTTCGGTTGCATTATTTGCATTCAGATTTGTAAACGAAGGAAACAAAATACATATAATAAGCTTGACATGAGAACTCTTAATCAAACTGGCAGCGAGTGATTGAAACGCAGACTTATTCTCGATTGACCCCTTTCGGAACAATACATTTTGGAACTCTTTGGAGTTCAAAGAATGGAAACAAAATCAAACAAACACAAAAGAAAGAAAAAAAAAACAAATTATCCTGTCTGCAAACAACTCCCAAGAATAATATCCTCGAGAAGGTTGTAGACGCACCAATCCTACTATACGGTCCTGCATACATAAAATGATACATGTGTTATGTCTTTGTAAGATCCATCGGTTATGTGACTGATGAATGGAGGTAATACTACATTCTTCACGAACAAGTGTCTTTGGTTTTTGTCCGTACCATCAAAATTAACCAGGAAAAGATCATCACTGAAACTCCATGCAGGAAGAACACAAATTTACAGTACCTGATCTGAATACAAGTTGTGAAACAAATGATGCCCTTGATCCGATTCAGCTGCTTCCTGCTCGACAAGGATCGAAGTCACAAGTTTCATCAGCTTTTACAAACCCGCCTTTCATGCGCTTTCTTGTATCATCTTTAACTTTACGTGAAGCATACGTAATCGATTTCCCAAACCTGCGAATACAAGAAAACACACGTACTTAGATATTGCCAACTGCTACATACTGATAGGCATGTACTTAGCTGCATGTCCATTATATAAGAAACTTACATTCGACTTCTATTCTTCTCGTTGTATGTCATCTTTGCTTCGTTCCTCTCCTGCAGATGCAGATGTCCGGGTTCCGGATTAGAATCCCATGTTGACTCACCTGTGAGGAACATGGGAGATACCCCACAGTCCTCGTGATCATCAGCACTGCTTTCTCCAGTGAGGTTTGACAGAGAAAGAGAAATAGTTGGGCAGATATTTCCGGTGTGTAAAATTGGGTTGTCGCTTCTGTTGCTATTGCCGTTCACTGGCTGCCCAGCATTGGCGAGTTGAAATGTGTCAGGTGACCGAAGAGTCATGCAATCATGTTGGTCTGTAGGTGAGGTCTGCACCCGTTATGTATATATATCATTGGAAATGTCAACCATACAAGGAATAGCTGATATGAACCGAGAGTTCTGAGAATAATAGACAACCTCGATTAATGCGCTTTCAATGTGACCACTTAAATTCATGTCCGTGATGAAGTCATCCGATCCTGTATCATGAAATGGGCTTGTAGTATTGTTTTGTGGGCAGCCGAGTGCCTCTGTTCCGTCTTGAAAGTGGAAGCCAGCCATGCCGGTGCTGAAACCTTTGCAAAGCTCGTCGTTATCACATGTCCCAAGATTACTGGAAGCTGGAAATCTCATCTGTCCATCACATGCAATTAAAAATACTTAATGGTGCAGTGCGTTTGATGCAAAGTCGTCAGAGAGAGAACCTTAGGCGGATTGCACTCGTCGTGAAAGAAACCCTGTTGCTCTGATCCACAGGGAAGCACCACACTGGACTCAGGTGACACAATCGGCGAGATAGAAGAAGCGATAGCCACACGGGGATGAAACTTTGTCACCCCCAAACACACCAGCCCTTCCAACCGTGCTCGCAGCCTCCCCGGCCGCCAAGCTATTGCGCGAAGCGCAATTCTGGTTGGTGGTCGTCATCGTCGTCTTCCGAAGAGGAAGAAGAGTGCTGTCGGAGAGGTCCAGCAGTGAGGACCACATTGCGGATAGCTCGTGCGGGGAGGGGCAACCAGAGTAGCAGCTCAGGTGTCGGTGGCGGTGGCCGGGGCCGCAGCCTCCGGCCTCAGGACCGGCCAAGTCGCAGGACTGGCAGAAGGAAATGCGGTCGTCTAGGCATCGAACGGAGGCGGGCCGGGCGAGGCAGAGATCGCAGATGAGGGCGCGGAGGTGGCGGCGGGAGATGGCGTTGGCGGAGTGGATGAACGCGTCGCAGGGGAGGCATAGGCGGGCTGCGTTGGAGTTACAGTAAACGAGGCCACGCTAGGCGCTACAGAAGTCGCACAAGGACTCCATGGGCGGCCAAAAGAGGAAGAGTACTGACGAGGTGGAGGACACGCGGGAACGGAGGCAGGTACGTGTGCCTGCGTCGCTTCAGGTGTGGATGATGGAAGAAAGGGAGAGGAGGGAGGAGGAGGACGTCGATGCCATCGGGAAGGGAGAGGGAGGGAGTGGTGCGAAGTGAAGGAGGATGGCATCGATAGCGGGTTTTGTTGGGCCGGGGATTCGCGGGGAGAACGGAGAAGAGGTTGCGCGGAGGCGCAACAAATGGCCACCCAACCAAGCAAGCCGGGATATTTATGACCTACCCAAAATATATTTCCACGTGCGTTATCTCCATCATTCTTATCTCTATCTATAGCGAGGATATAAATAGAGGAAAATTCGCAAGGACATAAATAAAGATGCCCGCTTGATATATCTTGTCGACACCGGTGTCAATTCCTGGAGCCACAACCTTCCACGATCAATCTCTAAGCAGAATTAGATTTCAACTCGTCTTCCTCGTCCAAACGCATTCACTCCTTTTTCTTGGTCATTTAATTCCAAAAAGGCGTGGAGTTCGATGGCCTACCACACCACACCGAGAACCGACGTCATGGCAGCTCACTCATCTCCCTCCCATGGTCCAAAACCATATGCTTGGAAACCGAGCCTAGTGTGCTCGAATGATGAACGGAGGTCCAACTCCTAACTAAACGAAAGCTACGTCCTACGTTACTCCACCGGCGGATAGTTGAGCGAGCGAGAAAGGGAAGCGTGTCGGCAAAGCCATGAAGGAAGCAGGTAGAGCATCTCGAAGCTGGGCATGCATCCCTTTCCCTCGTGTTGATGGTGGGGGGTGGCTTGAGACGGGAGGAAAAAGGGAAGGGGGGGATGGGATGATTGGCTTGCAAGCGATGAGCTGCCCCCTTTTGCCTTTATGATCCTATTATATTTGGATTAGCACTCAACATACCAAAGAAATTGGTGTGTGCCGAATGGATTTGTCACTGTGCTCGTTTGGTGGCACAGGTGAACCCACCTTCTACGAGAGACTGTAACAGGGGGAGCACGTGTACTTGTTGAGCTTGCGAAGCAATAGCTTGGCTCGAGGTGTGAAATCTAAGAGCTGATGTATTGGCACATTTGGTATAACGGCATTTACGGCCCTCCACGCTTGCTAGATTCGTTAGGTGAGGCAACCGTCGGCTTGTTGGCAGATGCCCACATAATATTCCTCGCGCTCTCTCGAGTTGAGATGGTCCAAGTCGAGTCCCGTGGACTGCAGCCGGCCGCGTGGGCTCGAATCCGGCGAGCTAAGCTGTGGTGTTGTGGCCGACGCAGCATCTGGAGCGGTACTTTCGTGACGCAATCCCAAAGTTAAGGCGGATAGACTCAAGTGGGAGAAGGAAAGAGAAGAGCTTCTCCAATCGTCACACGAAACGTTATCACGCCTGGCCGCCGGTTTACAGTAGGATGAAGCAAGGGACAGGTGGCGCAGTGCGGCGTGCGTCACCCTTTGGATTAGTATTTCTTGGCGACAAGGAAGTCCAAACGTACTGAATCTAAAGAGAAAGCTCGCACTCAACGGAGTCTGAAATATTTGTCGCCCCTTCTCTCGATATATATCTATCTAATCTCTTGCCCGAGGAGTTCATTCATACAAAAGGCTCTTTCCTCTGCCTCTTGTTCGCTTCCGTCCACCTCTTCGCTGTCGCATCGCGAGATGGGAATTGGTGGGTGGCGCCGAGGTCGTGTCATCGGCCGCGGCTCGTCCGCCACCGTCTTGTTGGCTACGGATTTGGATTCTGGAGAGGTCTTCGCGGTCAAGTCCGTGGAGCTCTCTCGCTCCGCTGTCCTGCAGAGGGAGCAGAGGATTCTGTCCTCTCTCGGTTCTCCGTATGTAGTTTCTTGCTTCGGGTTCGACGTCAGCTCACACAGGCTCGCCGGCGGTCTCTACTACAATCTCTTCATGGAGTATGCTCCGAGAGGCTCGCTGTCGGACGAGATCGTGAGGCATGGAGGTCGGCTCGATGAGGCCGCAATTCGGTCCTACACATATCAGATCCTGCGGGGTTTGGCTTATATTCACTCGGAAGGCGTCGTCCACTGCGACGTCAAAGGCCGGAACGTTCTGATTGGGTCGGACGGGCGCGCCAAGATTGCCGACTTGGGGTGCGCAAGCTTGATCGACGAAGATGATCGTGGCGGCGGAGAATGTCGTGGGTTGAGGGGCACGCCGATGTTCATGGCCCCGGAGGTCGCCAGGGGAGAAGAGCAGGGGCCTCCGGCCGACGTGTGGGCTCTAGGCTGCACTGTTATCGAGATGGCCACCGGGTGTCCGCCATGGCCTGACGTTCCCAACGCCATCGGCGTGGTTCATCGGATCGCCTTCTCCCGGGTCGTGCCGGACTTCCCGAGCTGGCTCTCGGCAGAGGGAAAGGACTTCTTGAGCAAGTGCCTCAAGCGGGATCCCAGCGAGCGGTGGACGGCAGAGCAGCTCCTCCGGCACGAATTCGTGGCTTCTTCCCGGACGAATCCTTCGTCTAAACCAGATTCAGATCGCTTCTGGGCCTCGCCAAAGAGCACTCTCGACCAGGCATTCTGGGAGTCATTTTCCGAGCAATCAGCCGAGCACCCATCCCACGATGAACCGTCGGCGAGGATCCAACATCTGATCAGCAGCAGCAGCAGTCCTAATTGGACATGGGACGAGAACTGGGTGGCGGTCAGGAGCGACGGCGAGGACTGCCACGGCTTCCCAAGTTGTCCGGCCGATGCCACCAAAGACGGTGAGATAACGGTCTGTGGTGACGGCAGCAAGCTTAGCAGTATTCATCATATGGATACGGTGGATTCTTTCCACAGTTCACACGAATTTGGTGTGATCAATAGTAACAGTGGTCACTGTGACACGAGCTTTGTACAAGTAGCAGAGGGAGAAGAGCGGCAATTTGTGAGCTGTAAGACGGAGGTGTATTCTTCCACCAATTTGAGATTTCCTATTGGTCTCGTTAGATCTTAGTAGTGGTCTTTTCCCTCTGGTTTCTCCTATATCTTTCTCTTAATGTCGCAATAACCTACGATTACTGGTCAACATCCTTGCATCAAATTTCGGGCAGGCCGGGTTACCTTTCATGGTTCACATGCAATTCGACCGGGTTGAGCCTTATCTGCGAGTTGATGTTGGGCCGCACCCAATACCACCCCATATCCGAGGCGTCGCTTCGGCATCGCGAAGCACCGTCCGTTAGTTGTTAAGTGGCGACCATATGATGCTCTCACGCTATCCAACAAAATATTAGGTCTAAAGCTGGTCGAACCGGAGTTTTGTTTGATCGAATCAGACCGGTTCAACCGGGCGGTCCGGCCTAATTTTTATCGACTCACGTGAACGAATTGAGATAGACAGGTCGTGTCGGTTGAAGGTTGCTTTCCAGGTGGCTCGACTTCGGTTGTGGGTCAATTCTGACCCAATCCGACCAATGGTTCGGCGGAAATATTCCAGCCCTAACCTTACCCAGATTTGGTACATATCGCATTCGACCGTGCGACGATTAGGTTAGGCTCGGATTCGAACCACCTAAAGTGTAATCGTTTTGTTCAATTTATGTCATGTATTATTAAATCAGTAATTTTAGTATTTTACATGACATACAAATAATTGCAAGCTGTAATAAGTAAACGCATGATTTCATTCAAACAGTGGCAACCACAGATCGGTAAATTTAGGTACTAAAAGGATTGAATAAATAAGAAAGAACACGAGACACGATGCGATCAATTCTCATGTCCGTATTAATGTACGTGAATACAAGGAAGAATGTTGTCAACGAGTTGCTCCCCCAGCAGCAGATGTGGCGCACACGAACGGATCATCGCGAGGCAGCAGATCGCCGGTCCTGATGACCGTCAACACCATCAGCGCCAGGGTGACGAGCACCGAGAGCACCGAGAGGACGAGCATCAGTAGGTTGGCCGCCGCCGCCTTCACCTCCTGGGCGTACTCGGTGGCGGCGAGCGCCAGCACGGTCAGCGGGAAGGAGTACGCCCACCACGCCACGCTGAAATGCCTCATGGACCGCCTGAACAGCGCCGGCCGCGATACCTGCAGCACAAAGCCATCTCCCTGTGATCTCATGCCACCGTCAAAGCTTACGCAGACGGAGGAGTTTGTGACGGATTCGTAGCCACTGGGATGTGACGTGGTGGCGTGAGCGGCCATGCAATGCAATAAGCGCCGACGCATACTTTTTACTCCATAGGATACGGAGATGTGGTGCCGTGGTGGTGCTTCCTTTGTGGCTTGCCTCTTCCTTAAAAGGTGAGCATGTATGTTACGAGACCAGGCAAGCAGTCCGTCTAACATGTAATCCAGGTTGTTATCTCCCATTCCAGGAATCTCGCGTTCTTCTTCTTTCTCTCTCTTGACCATTTCACTCTTATTGCTTGCCGTCTAAGCTGTGCATGCGCATTAGTTCCATGCCACAAAACCTTGTTTTCAAGCTTCATTAGTGGGGAATAAAGATACGATTTATCTTGTTCTCACAGAGTAAACTATATCGATTAGAGTGATTATTGCCACAGGATGATGGGTGCTTATATCTCTAATTACTGAATTATGTTGAAAAGATTCACCAAACTGAAAACTTTGGCAATAAGCTAGTGATAGTTAAGACATTTCATTACCAGGGAAGCAAACAGGAAGAGGGAGAGGAAGAAGAGCATCTTGCAGGAGATGTCGAAAGTGGAGCTGATGGAATCCCAGGCCAAGCTGGCCATGCTCGGCGCGGCGAAGAAGAGGAAGAACACCGGACGTAGCATCGCGGGCAGGGAGTCGCTCCCTTGCAGCCTCTGGTACAGCGTGACGAAGAGCACGAGGTAGTGCGTAACGCCCAGCGAGAACATGAACAGAGCGCTCTCTTTCCATCCCATCAGCGCCGCCGCACGTGCCCCGACCAAGTTGCCGATGACTGTGATCTGGCTTGTCGGGTTGGCCACCACGGAGAGGAACTGTTTCCCTCTGGTGAGCCACTGGCCGTAGATCTTGAGGTCCAGCGCGAGGATGGGGATAGAGAAGACGCACCAGAGGAGGAGGTAGCAATTCGTCTTGGGGTGGAGGAAGGGCGTGGACTGGAGGAGCAGGAGCCAAGATATCCAGGGTGCAAATAGGTAGTTCATGCCGACGTGGTGCCGGAGCTCAGCGCGCACGCTGCCGAACCGGAACAGGCAGCGCACGGCGTAGAGGAGGCAGAGGGCCACGAGGGTGAGGAAGGCGAGGGACCAGAGGAGGACGAAGGCAGCGGAGGGCAACCTACGGAGGACAGGTCGGAGAGCGCTGGCGTCAGTGGTCGGCTCGCTGAGCGTCTTCCACAGCAAAGCCTGGCCACACAGGGAAAGGCTGATGCGGAAGTATCCCGCGTGGAATTTCGTCAGTACAGAGAGCTTCGAGAGAACCTTCTCAGAAGCAGTGGCGGTGGCCGCAGCAATGGCAATCGGAGATGTCGTAAGGATCTGTAGTTGGACTTGGTGGGGGTTGTGGTGTTCGCTTTGCTCCATCTTTGATCATCGTATTCTCTTCATGTAGCACAGTATATGTCTATATATAGAGAGGAAGGGAAGTGGGGAGAGAGAGAGATAGAGATAGAGAGAGAGGGCAAAAGGGAGTGGGAATCGATTCGAGACGAGGAGGAAGGCGGCTGAGTGGATGACCGGACGAGTCATCGACCCGCATGCAACTCGACACTGGTGGGTAACGTAATATTGGTGGACCGCATTAAGAAGCTATATGTGGGACCGCATTATGCACTTCAAAAACTCACACCATTTTAGTTTATTGGATTCTCAACAGAGATTGTCATGTGATTGGGCTCATCAAAGGCTCCATATTAATCATTCTTTTATGCATCCACTTCTTTTGATCCTTCACCTTCTTTTCTCTTTCCTCTTGACGACATAATCCACCTTTTCCGACCAAGGCTCAGTGATAGTCCAGTGAGGTTTGTGTTGATCAACTTCCCAAGCTTTGGGCATTAGCCATTCCGGTCATTCCACTTCCAAGAAAGATGAATACAGCTGCACTGGATAACCATGAACAAAGTTAGTGGACTTAGGTTTGGCAGTACGTATGCAGACATATGCATGAAAGTGCTGCTGCGATACGAAGTACCTGAAGCCACACAGATTGCTTTATATCGTCGGCATTTATCTCCTTCAAAAAGCTACTATTATTCCATGCGACCATCACTGTACTGTGTGAAGAGCTTCACTAGAAGTGGACATGAAGAGCTCCATGGGACCATCACTGGAAGAGCTTCAGCACGTTCTGAGTCCACTAGAAGTGGACATAAGCAAAGCAACGTATGAGAGAGTCTGCTGGTCCTATATAAGGATATAAATATGAACTAAAGCATCTGCTGGGGAGGGATGACTCTGATTCAACTGGCACTGCTCAAAGTCTTTCCCTTTCAGCTTTTAGAAGCAAGTACACAGTGACCGTTCAAAGCAGACATCAGTTCACATCTTCTCTACCTTTTTTCCTTGGTTTCTCAGATTAATGGGGTGAAGGATGATGAGACCAAACTATGGATAACCCTTGTCAAGGTGAGCTATTGCATGGAAAGCCATTATGGTGCCCTCCCTGCACGGTCTCAGGAGGAAATCTTGACTTTAGCGGCATCAGACTTAGTGGAGGTTCAAAGTAGACGACATGTGGTTTACTGGACAAGAACTGGATCCAGGCCAACATGAGCTTGCAGAACCATCGCTGTAGTAGCAGGTACGATTGGATACAGCTGGTTGTTTCTAGTTTTGGTCATTCTTCTTCCAATCTCCTTCTCAGGCCTGTGTCATCCTGCCTTCTCACCTTCGGTAGGAAAACTGTGAAGCTTCCGACAATCAGAGGTTGTCGGCGTGCGATGCACCCTTCGGTGCGCACATTGAGTAAAAACATTGAGTACGAAGAAGAAGAAGAAGAAGAATTGAGTTGTCATCACTGTATTAATTCAGTGTGCTGGAAGCAGAGGCCTCTGTTACGAACCAATTCTCCTCTGCTTTAGACAGGAGGAACGACAGATGCAGTCTCTGAACGAAGAGTCCCACAGATGACATGGTGACACAGTCACCAAAGGATCGGAAGTGATAAGAGCATCCCAACCACTGCTCATCCATTACGTGTTGCTAGCGACATGCAACAGTTCATGAAAGATTCTCCAATCCGCCTCCAAAAACAGACAAACTAAGAAATGTGAGCCATAGGATTTGTCATTTCTGTGACAAAGCAATTATTTTTGGGTATATCTTTGATTCAGAATGATCCATATTATTCACGGGTCTCACGTGCAGTCCTTCTTCTCCACCGTAGCAGGATCCAGTACACGAAGAAAGGGAAGGTTGTGGTAGCTCAGGTTTCACAAGATCCAACAGGTTTCACAGGTAGGCTCGTGTGGCTCTTCCACCTAACATGTCACCAATGATAGCTGCCATTTCCGGAGATCCCCCTGCTTGTACTTATCACCTGGTTCCAACTCCATGATTGACACTCATCATCATTTGTCGTTTCGCAAGCTTCTTCTTCGAGTCTTGTCCAAAGGTACCGATACTATTACTTCCATTTCGGTGAGTGCACTCTGCTTCACGTTTGATTTTGAAAGCTTTCATGGGTGCAATGCAGTTCTTTCCCTACTCAACCTCAAAGAAGACGATCTGAATCATCAATAGGTACTTTGCGAGACATGGCTGGATCTCCTGTCATTGCACTTTATATTACGATCTGCTGTCTTGCGTTTGTGATGTCAAAGATCATTATTTCTTTTCTGCTCTACAAAAGATGGGCACGAAAACGCAGAATCATCGAAGATTCCTTATCAGGTCAATCCCGTTTAGGCAACTCTGTTATAGAGCGATCGACGTTGTTGAATGTGAAGCAGAGCACTGACTTGCCTTTTAGCAGGCGGAAGAATGGTGGTGTTCAGGTCTCCAGCAGCACAATCTCTGAGTTCCAAGGCTTTGATGAAGAAGACGATGAAGTTATCAAACAAGGACATAATAGGATCCGGAGGCTTCGGCACAGTCTACAGGTTGCCCGTAGACGAAAAGACTGCGTTCGCTGTAAAGAGATTGAACAAGGGAAACAAAGACACAGACCGTGGATTTGAAAGAGAGCTGCAGGCCATGGGTGACATAAAGCACAGGAACATTGTCAGTCTCCATGGGTACTACATTGCAGCACAGTTTAATCTACTCATATACGAGCTGATGCCAAATGGAAGCTTGGACACTCTGCTTCATGGTGATCTACAGCTCTTTCTACCGATCTAGGTTTCAGGCAATCAGATGCTGACAAGAAGTTTGTGATGCAGGCAAATCGAGCAAACAAAAACCTCTTGACTGGCCTGCAAGGTACAGAATTGCAGTGGGTGCAGCAAGAGGCATATCATATCTGCATCATGACTGCATACCTCACATAATCCACAGAGACATCAAATCAAGCAACATACTGCTGGACCGGAACATGGAGGCAAGGGTTTCTGACTTCGGATTAGCAACACTGATGCACCCAGATCAGACCCATGTTTCAACGATTGTAGCTGGAACATTTGGTTACCTTGCCCCTGGTAAGTAATCTGCAGCAACCATCATCTTCTTCTTCAACCCCTGTCTCCATTTGACAATGACTCTGCTTGTTTCATCAGAATATTTCGACACAGGGAGAGCAACAACAAAGGGAGATGTTTACAGCTTCGGTGTGGTCTTGCTTGAGCTTCTAACCGGTAAAAGGCCCACAGATGAATCATTCATCGAAGAAGGCGCGAAGCTGGTAACCTGGGTAAAGCTTCTACGATCCAAACTCTCTAAATTGGTGTACATCGATCCAAGTCAAACTAATGGTGGTTTGAAGCATTGTGCAACAGGTAAAAGACGTCGTCAAAGATGAAAGACAAGAGCAAGCAGTCGACAGCACCCTCAGCTGTTTTCCTACCGAAGAGGTGAAGGAAGCCTTCCGCATTGCAGAGAAATGCCTGGAATCGGATCCCTCAAAGAGGCCGGCTATGGCGGAAGTTCTTAAAATGCTCGAGCAAATAAGTTCCCTCATCAATTAGCCATTTCCTCCCATTTGCTCATGCAGACAGTCATTATTTCCGATAAGAAATAAGACATATATATAATATAAAAGATATTTTTGTATAATATTTTAGTTAAAGGTGGCTAAAGAGTCAACTCGGAATTCGTTGACACCGGAAAGGGCTTCAATCCGGTCCAACTCATTAATACCGTGTCAGACCGGTTTAACGGGTCCAATTGCCAGTGATGTCGGCCTTCTTCTTCTTCTTCTTTTTCTTCTGTCGCCTGGGTGTTTTCACGTGCATGGACGCAATCGTTGACCCGCCGACGAAGAGCCCCACACGAAGAGGTAAGCGAGGAGGACCGGGTCGCAGGATTGCACCAACCCCCGCACACCTCCCTTTTGCGAAAATGCCAACCACACTCGAGAAAGAAGAAGAGAACAGGGGAAAGAAGGGGAAGTAATGCAGTTCTCTGTTTTCTTGCACCGCCCCAAATAACACGTATGATTACATGGTCTTCTAGTTCTCCGTCAAACAAATGAATATGTAAAAGAATGATCACGAAGGGAAAAAGGGAAGGAGCGATGTATGTTCAACAGCAACCAACTGTAGCCGGAAAATTGCAACTGCAGGGCTAGCTGCAAGATTTATCGGGAATAATGTTGTTGTTGTTGATGATAAGATTGCTGCCGTTGACGGTCTGATGATTGCCGCCGATGATGGACTTGATGGCGGCAGTCAGCGCGGCCGTGAAGTTCGGGTCGGCAGTTATGGCAGCGGTCGCTGCGTTCACCGTTTCCGCCATCGAGGGTGGCATGACTGGCTGCGCCTTTGGGTGTGGGAACTGGGCGGCTGCCATCTCCAGCGACATTTGAAGCCCTGAGAACGTCGACTGGTTGTGTGGCGTCTGGCCGAAGACCTGCGGTAGGGACGGGGGCTGAGAAGGCGCACTGAAGGCCGGAGCGGCGCCAGGGTAGGGGACGTGGAACGGGCCGGCAGGTGGCCTTTGGTACTGCAAAGGGTTCGTCGGGTTTTGGGTGAGATCCAACGTGACGGTCGGGAACGGAGCAGACGCGGAGATGGTCGCCATGTTCGACGAGCACGGCAAGATGGTTCTTGCCAAGAAGTTCGAGTTCATCAGTCCGTCAGTGCTCGACATCGACCCGGAGAGGAGCATCGACGCTGCGGCAGAGGTGGTCGACGCCATGGCCATCGCGGCCGGTGGGAGCGGATGATTGTGAGTGCCCTCGTATGTCGTTATCAGTATCGAACGATCATCGGCACACCGTTGAACCTAATCGGAGAATGCAGTGCATCAGCGAGAGTTATGTGCTTAATGTTCATGCTAACAGCGGTACGAGGAGATGGGCGCTTACTTGCTTGCGGACGGGACAACCGGCTGCCATGGTGCACCTGTAATAAGCTCTCGGGCACGGGTTTCCCTTCGCCATCTTCTGCCCATACTTCCTCCATTGACATCCATCAGTAATCTGCAAGGAATTCAGAGTCTTATGTACTCGACAGATTGGTGCATCGTCGTAGGTAGACATCCAATTAAGGGTCCTAAGCTTACCATGGGCGCTTCCGAACGAGCTCGAACAGAGACACGAGCTTTCCTCATGGTGGCTTCTTGGGCATGGTCAGCAGGCTTTGTGGGGTTCAATTTTTGAGCCTTATAGGGGTTCCAGCTCTGTTCTGCCGATCCTACTTCAGCGTTTCCCGGTGGCGAGGCGGATCGATCGGGGCTTGCCGTCGACGAGTCCGACGTTTGTTCGTCGTCGGCTGCTGGGCCGAGATCCATGAACTGCCTCGGGACAAGCACTCCTCCATGGTCGCGATCTTTGGCATCAGTCTTTTCCTCCACCATAGCCTGGATTTGAATAAGCTGATTGGCTCGATTGCTCTAATAGATTGGAATTGGGTTTCTTCGTACCGATACGATCCATCTTACCTCATGTGCTTGCGGGGTTGCGGTCTCTCGTTGGTTCCGCTGTTGCATCAGTGTGGTGAGATGCATGTGTAGGGAGTTGTAGCTGGTGGTCACTTGGCCGAGAACTGCCCTCAGCTTCTGGTTCTCTTCCTTCATGCGTGCCACCTCCGCTTGCATGGCGGCCAGCTGAGTCAAGCAAATTCAGAACTATTAGTTCTGGACGATTAGAAATTGGATGATCCTTCAGTCAGGCAAAACCTCTAACCTCATTCATGCCTTCTTTATCATCCTCATTCTTCGACGACCCGTCGTCCACTGTCGACCGATCACTGGCCGTGTTGGGAGTTTGAAGGTGCAATCGAGTCTAAATACATCAAGAAGAATCAACGTCATACAATCTAAGAATCTTTTCCGACGAAGTAATGTAGAATTACGGGTCCAGTGATCACGAACCTGAATGGTGAGATCTTCCTTCTTGATACTACTAAGACTCGGCACCTTGAGATCCAGCTCTGTCTCCACCAGGCTTCTCGAATTCTTCTTCTCACCCGAGAAGAAATCCACCTCACCCACAGCAACGCGGTCGTCGTTGCTCACCTCATCTTTCGCCAGCAACATCGTCCGGACATCTCTGCGGGGGTTGAGGCAGATCGGGAACTCGATGCCGGTGCTGACCGTAGGGTGGCCGCTGGAGTCCATGGGCTGCTTTCGCTTGAGTGCACCACCGCCGTAGCTCAGAGAAGAAGCGAGGAAAAGAGGAGCCGATGTGTCCAAGGTGAGCACTCCCGTACCACCACTTTTATCCATATAACTACGGATCGTCAAACGATCGCAGCTGGATTGAATGAAAGATGGAAGTGAAGGAAGAGCGGGATGGGGACGGGGCGGAGGATGAGGAGGGTAAAGAGGTCTGAAGTCTTTAATCGCCGAGACGGGGAGGGCAATATAAAGGCCGGGGAGAGGACTTGGAGGGGAGTAACGATGACATCAGGTCGTGCGTCAGTGGAGGAGGATTCCGAGAGGTTTCCAGGGACGATGCGACCGCTTCGATGTGACCGCTTCAATGCGACCGCATCGCGTCTCACCACCTCCGATTGGGCTGGCGGATTCCACGTGAGAGTGAAAGCGAGCGAGCGCGAGATTACTTGAAGAACAGGTCAACTCCTTTGACTGGGCCCACCGTTCTCTGTTTTTCTACGGCATCTCACCCAGACAGCAAACACCGACTTCACCCTCACGAAGAATGTGGGCATCATCCTCCAACGCATGCTTCGGGACGGGGATCCCGTGCTCCCATGTCCACCCCTCCCTCGGCGGAGCTCAATGGGAAAAGGGCGGGAGCTCCACTTGTTTGACCCACTCACAGGCGGCCACGTGGGATGCGTCGTGGAACGCAGCGCGACCTCATCGTTTGCAGCGGTCGTATCTCCCCGTTCTTTAGAGCTTTGACCCTTTCAGGAAGAGAGAGAGAGAGAAGAGTACACGGAAAGGACATTGCGTGAACAGTAAGAACTACTCCTCCACACGGATCGTCGTCGTCATCACCATCTCGAACGCACGTAGTATTACCACGAGATAGGGGTGCTTAGGTGGTCTGTTGAATCTGCCCATCATCCGTCCCCGTCGATGTGAAGCAACCGGTGACTTTTGTACCAGCAAGTTGTGACTTTTGGACTCGAAAGAGGTGATGCTTTCTGAAGTCATTCAAAAAGCAAGTAAAGACATTCCCGGGGGTGCAGGTAGCGAAGGCAAAGAGCTCGCTTTGCCTTGGATTCTTCGACGCTCCTCACCTGAAACGACGACGACCTCCATCGCTTCGTTGACTGGCATGGACACACCAGAGGCCCGCCTTTCCTTCTTCGACCCTAATTAGCTGAGATTGATTGCAGCGACCGTCGTGCATGGAATTAACTGGCAAACTGACCTGAGGCCGAAAAGTCAATCGACGACAAATCTATCCCTCGATCCGAGGTGCCAAGAATCAGCTGTGACAGATCTTCTTTTTGTCCTTTTTCTTTCCCAATATCCTCATTTTGTCGCGACTGATGTTCTCATCATCTTTGGGTCCTCTTTAGCTGCTGTGCTCTCTCGATTGAAACTCTAACCCTGATCTTTAAGGTCGGATCACGGACAAAGTGAAGCGAATGTCCAAGGTTTGGAGTGGGGTTAGTAATCAAGCGTCTGTGTGACTTGGGTGCTGCTCCAACCATCGGTGGATCTGGTCATCGTGTGGTCGTCGGAGGCAGAGGACCGTTTCATGCACCGCCCTAAACTAATGCATTGGTCGTCGACGACGATAAGACGGAAACGTCATCTTACGTGCCTCGCTGTTCCCACAGGAAAAAGTCGGAATAGCGTGTGATGGTATACACAAAGACTAGCATATGGCCTTTCAAGACTTCAAATACGGAACTTCCACCTTGAAAATTAGCTTTGGTCATTTGTATATTTACGCGGATTCTTCGTTGAATTACTATATTTTTTTTTGTGTATTGAGAAGAAAATAATGAAGTGGTCAATACATCAGCATTATCGATATCTCAGTTCAAGATCATAATTGTATACCTTTCGATGTCATCTAAAATTTTTTTATCTGATCTATAAATGTATTATTATCGAATTTAAAAATTATTGATCTACAAGGATAACTATATTTGTCTTTTTCTTTCTTTATATTATTCACCGTAACACTATGAGTGATGAAATAACGACTCAAGGAGATTGAAAATAGATCTATAATTTTAATGTTTTGTCTATAAGAGATCCTATCATTTTATAAGATATACCAAATGGTCCTGAAAAGCAATTAGAAAAATTTCCTCCAATAAAAATAAAATCATTAATCCTATCATAATTGAATTTCTTTTTTATACTTTATCTAATTAGATAGAGCCACGTAGTCTAACAATGTCCACGTTCCCTAGATTTGATGTAACACGATTCTATAAAGGCTAAGTAATATGTGAAATTATTTGTTTGCGAGCATAATAATATTATATCTACACTATAAAAGGTTTTTTCAAATGTGTATCTAAATTCAAAGAAAAACTCTTATTCAGTGAGTGCTTTCGGCTTTATAATACTTTGACGTAGTTTTATAGGACTCGACACCAATGAGAGACAAACATAGAACGAGGCATCGATTGGTTCCGAATTAGCATTCTCTTTACGCCACTAGATTATGACGTAACATGTACTAAAAGGTCTTCGATAGATGGCATATTCTAAATCCAACAACATAATTAACGCAATTGGAGCACGTTGTGCATTACGCATCGAATGCATCTTCATCAACCAATATGCTCATAAGATAATCCCTTTTCAACGAACGCCTGCTGTGCCGACTTTGGTCAATTCGTCTTGATGTGTACTCCTTAGACTGCGGAGCAACGGAGCAACACGAGAGAGCACAATGGTTCCACCAGCTCACCGACGCGGCTGAAAAGCTCCGACATCAATTACCGAGAAGCACACAGTTTGAACGTGAAACAGAACGCTTAATGGGTCACAGAAACCAACGAGAAAATAAGAGCAGCTGCGGTGGCCTTTTCTGCAACTTCAACGACGGCGTTGGACAAAGAAGACCCCTAACTTGAAGGTCTTGCCTCCGGTCCATTCGATCAGGATATGCATGTGAATACGAAATGGTTTCTCGGTCTACTTCCGTCAGCAAAACGCCTGGTTGCGCTGATATGTTGGACCAGTCTTTGTGCCGTGAGAGATGAGAAGAAGCACCGTCTACATCTCAAGACTTTCTTGAGATGTGAATTCCCTGAGAACTCCACCTCTTGTTATATGACGATCTCAATATAATACAATAAGGAAAGGAAGGACCGCAAGGTGTGTGTTGTAAGAGCCTGAAGGGAGGAAGAAGCTTCAAAGAAATAGTAGTTGGGACAAAGAGGATATATATATATATATAAGAATTGACTGATATATTATAATGATAAGATCACGTGAATACACGACCTTCCAAGAAACCACGTAGAAAAATGCGTCTCTTAACGATGCAAATTGCACGTTTGATGGATCCATCTGACTTATTAGGTCAATTATCTGAAGTCTCTCTCTCTCTCTTCTTCTCGTTGGTCTCTTTTGTTTATTGTGTGGAGTTTTCTATCATGTGCAGTGAGCATTTCCAACCATTGCAACAACCGAGTTAACGTGATGAGACGGGTATCCGGTGACCTTCGTTTGCCGGTGGTAGCAAATACTTAATGAACCGAGTAAGACTCGCTTTCCACGGTTACTATCATCGCCTTCGTCAGCAGCCCTCACCCTCTTCTTCTCGCCATTAATTCCCCCTGCAGATTCCATTGCTAGTATCGTTTCATGGAAGCTAGCAAAGCATCAAAAGAGTGTTGTTCTGCGTATTACTGGGCTTGATTGGAGCAGATTTCTCTACCTGATCGCCACGTTGAATATTTGGCAATCGCTGCGTCTCTCGTCGTATTAATTGTTCTTCGTACCGCGGTGACTTCAAGAGGCAAGAGGGAGAAGGTTTCAGCTTATAAAAATGTGCGGCATGGAGTACCAGTTAGGCTGATGTGATGGGCCGATGTAGTAGGTCGCCGGTCACTGCATCCGGTGCCGTCTTCTACTGGATTTAGACTTGCAGCTGGTTTCCATTCTTGTTCTCCAACCTTGAATCCCTAGGCTTTTTTTTGTCCACTGTGTTTTACCCAAACAATATTTTAGACCGCTACAAGTTAAAGTACTGGCATCACGATAAGGTTATTCTTTTTATGATTTTTTTATTTATGATGTTAACAATACGTAAGCTTCTAGTCACATATGATAAGATTATTCTTGGGACGAATAAAAAAAAATAATCTGATTTTAAAGAATTTTTGCCAAGTTTTTTTTTTATGATTAATGATTTTATCTTGGTCATCTTTATCGGTAGTCGCTTGATCATTGGTTGCCTCCACACATCGACCACTCCAATCTAGTCATGTTAGCTCCACAATTCAATCTACGTATTGTCCATGCTTACCAGGAAGGAGGAGAACGTAGGTAAAGAAGGAAGGTTAACGATGGTGAACGAGGAAGGAGGGGGCCATGAGTGATAGTAGAGGGTGGGACAAGGAAGATAAGTAGATGGTAGGTAAACCTATGTATGGAGGAGGCCAAAGGCGTCGTAGGTGATTGTTCGAGATGAATGGAGATGATTGACGGGGTGGAGGTGTGGCTAACTGTGCAAGCCGACCTACGGAGACGACTTAGGTGGCTAGAGGCTCGTAGGATCCAATTTTTTTTTAATCAATTATATTTGTAAAAAAAAAAAAAAACGTTTTCATGCCATGACATGGATGCTATTGATTTAGTAATGGATTGTTCGCTTGTACTTTTGCTTTGGCTCTATGAGGGTCAATCGAATGAATTTAAATCCCATGAAGCCAAAGCCATCACATCCACCGAAATCACACCATCGGAAGCTACACGTGTGGGTGTATTTTATTCCGGAATGCTGATCAATCAGATTAGGTGTAAGCACTGTCTATCACAAGCAGGCATTCTAAAACAACTGCAAGCAGCCAACAAATCAGCACCAACTCCTCCTACCCTCCCTCCTCGTTCGTTCTTCATGGTTTATCGTGTCAAGCAAGCTTCAAGAGGAAGACCAGCTTTAGATGCATGACCGTGACAGCTCCCCTCCACTCCCCATTCATTATTGCATGCATGAATGCAAACAGTAAAAGCCCTAAGCCTTGCCGTAGCAAACCATCTTGTCCGGCGACATGTAGTTGGTACACTATGACTTAGTAGTATGCCGATGACAGCAGCTTCGCCACGCGGTTTACGTGTCGTGGGAGGCTAAGCTTAAGCATGCAGTGGAGAGTTGAAGGGAGGATAAGCTTGGTGGATCATATCCACATCAGCTTTTATACAAGGGGGCCACCTTATCTACATCTCTTGTTGTTGTTCCAGAATAATGGCATAGGATGTCATATCGTAGTGTCACTAAGATAAGCAGGAACAGTAGAGCCCAGAAACATACTCACATACCCATATATAATATGGTGCATATACTTCAACATAATTAACCATCTTTAAGCTGCTTCCGCGAATCCAACCCTAAGATTGCCGTAGTCAAACACAGTGTGATACGCTCCCATGAAAACATCACCGAGTACCCTGCGGCCATGGAGGAATCACATACATCAGAGGCTGACTCCGGCTACAACCGGGAGTATGTACTGTAGAAGCATATGGAGAAGGTGGCGTACCAAAGTGGACCTTGGGGCACATCCAGAGCTGTAAATCCACTGATGCACTGCTCAGATCCTCCACTGGCAACTTTGAGTATGTACTGTAACAGATGAGCAAAAATTAGAGATGATCAGGTCATTGTATTCAAAGAACAGTTGAAGCTTGATCAGAAGGAATTATTCGAGTTGTGCACAAGAACAAGTCAAGTCCTTTGAACATATGAAGCTTGATGCAAAGCAACCATGATACCCAGTTTCAAATGGACTAATCTGCCACAGATGCTGAAGAGAAGCTCTCATGTCCATACCCATCTATCATAAGGAAATGTATGTTTGCTGCAGTTTTCTGGTCTACAGACCCACAGCAATAGTGGGAATATGAGATAATTAGAATAGGATCATCTAAAGCAATCAACTAGAGATAATAATAGGATCATCTAGCATTAAATGTTAGATGTTGGATTCTATCAAAAAGATAAGTGTTAGTCGCAGGTCATCCAGTCCTTTCACACATCAGCAATCTTTATTCAACCCCTCTAGAGCTCTGAATCCAAGTAGATTAAGTGCTTGCTGCGTCAGTCTGATCTGTGGTTCTTTTCCCATGGTCAGCAGAGTAAAACTAACCTTGGAAACATCCTTTCAAGTGGGATTCTAGTAAGTGAAATGAACCAAAAGAACTGATTTGATTTAATAGGAGCAATCATACTTCATTATTCTAATGGAAAGTCATTAATTACTATCTACCTGCTCCGGTCTGAGGTCAAAATTCCTTCCACCAATATTGAAAGTTATCACAGGCATGGAGGAGAGACTATTACAGTCGACGGCTGATTCCCCCATGGGACTTGGTATTCGCTCGCATAACTGCAATGAACAAGGGAAATATATACAGACAACATCCGAGGCTAAATAAAAGTGTCTCCGGATGCAACCTCACCTCATCGAGGTAGTTCAACACCTGCTCTAGTGTCTTGTTCTGCGTGAGCTGACTTTGCATCCATACGACTGCCATTTCACAGTAGGAACACATACCATTGCTGAGACCACTATCTAATTTTTCGACTTGGTTGTCGACCACACTCTTGATGCCCAAACTGCGTACACAGAAATAGATATAGTAAAGTAAAAGAAATATATTCTGAGAGTTACATATATAGAAGAACATTTTATTGATGCGAACCTGACCCCTTGAGTTCCATTGAAAGCACAAAGACCAATCTTAGAACAAATCTTCGCTGGTTCTTCCTACGACAGGAACCACAGAATTAATGAAATCATTTGTCTTAAACATTTGATGGAAGTCCTTCAAAAGAATTCTGTGTAGAGGATAATGGTAAGAACCTTTGCTAATATCATGTTCATAATGGTTTCACCATATTGTGCGACTACTGCTTTGCACTGTTGGCTAACAACACCATCCGCTCCAATTTTCTGGTTTACCTCTGCGATAACAGTCTGCAAAGAAATTTCAAAAAACTTGTTAGCTACACCAGTTTTAATGAGATTGCATACAGGGATTATGACTTTCAGATCCAAGAAGAACATGTTTATGCACATAACAGATCAGAAACTATGGTCTTAACCAAAAAGGGCACTACGGGCAATCACAACTGGCCATTAACATTATAGCTTCAAGACTATGAAGAATAAAGGTTATCAATATGATTTTGCACATTAGCTGAACTATTTCATAAGAAGCTTAAAGGTCAGTTATTTCCTATTTTTTTTTTCCAGATTTCCTAAAATGGAAATCAGTATCTTTTTCTATATAATTTTTTTGTCAAACTTTCTAATTCTAATCACTGCCTGAATACATATTCTACAGTATATGTTTCTGTTGGTTTCTTATGCATAAGAAGCCAAGAATTCGATAATAGAATTTACTAGATCTTTTAGGAAGTAGCTATGCTGAATAACAAGTAATGTAAATAAGGTCCAGACTAATTGTTTATGCATCAAAGTTGCACACAGGCCACTGCAAAATGACGACTGCATTTGTCCATCCTCGAAAGAATTGCTTGCAAATTGTGACTTTTGAAGTATCACAAGAAGTTCTCACGTACATATATCACACAGATATGATGAAAAAAAATGCCTATAGAGCAAACTAAAAATACAATAATAGATATAAAGGGAGGCATGCCATATCTTCACATGTAATTTTTCAAAACTTACTGTTGGGCCAGCAATCAGTGAAGTTCCAGAATCCACAATTGCTGCACATCCTCCAGAACAGAATCCTGAAATCAAATATGTACCAAGCTTAAAAAGCATAAAATGAAAGATTTATTTACACTAAAATAAATTTTGTTAAAAAAAATAAAGAACTTGAATGCACTACCAGTTGTTTGGCCGCCAACAAGGACATCTTCCACGTCAAACTGCAAAAGAAAACTAATAGATTACATAAACAGAAAGAAAGACTAAAACTTGTATGCTCAAATAAAAATCCATAATCAACCTGCCAATAGCCTTTCTTAGTTACGGGAACGTAAACGTGTTCGCCTTTGTAATGCTCTCGGTCAGTCCCTCCAAAAACAATTTCACCTCCCTCCCCTTCATTCGCATTCCGGTTGAACCAGAAAGAGAATATAGGCTCTTTAACAAGACTTTGATTGACCATGTTGTACCTGTCAAATAAAAGAAGCTAAAATTAATTTATTTCAAAGTTCCATTGACAGTTTCCTTTTGGCACTAGAATCATGATGAACGGAATTTGACACCTATTGCAAACATTACAAGCAATAGCATAAGCATTAAATCTAGAAGTGTTCGATAGTTTTGACAAAGCCCCTTCTTGATCACATGAAAATAAAAAATCATAATAAGGTATTAATATTTGTGGCGTGATGAGTTTTGGTATGTTGTTGGCAATCTCTGTTGAGGAAAAACTAGTCACATAGCATAACTGTGATATAAAATAGCCTGAATGGGCATGATTAGGAAATTTGCACAAGACTACTAATTAGGGATCCATTTCTCTTTGTAGTCTCTCATGCAAGGAGCATTTTTTCTCCAAAGTTGTTCACATCAGACAGTGATAAATTTTGATCAGAAACTGATTTTTCACGCCTTCAGTAAGCCTCTGCTTTGTTTTAAAAGAACTGATTATAGAGAATCACTATGTAATATAATACATCTATGCATGCTCCCACTCATACATGCACACATACAAATAGATAACACAATAGAAAATATAGAATATAGATTCATTAAAGTGTGCAGTATAAAACAGAATTAAATTGATGGTCCCTACGTTCCCCTTATATGAGAATACCACCCATAATGCATATTTGTGAGCGCATCTTCTATATATGTGTTCTGCTAACCTAAGATTTATAACTAGTTGGCAATTGATGATCCAATCCATTTAGTTGATTTATACCCTTTATAGCATCTAAACATCAAATAACTTATTGCCTATATGCATGTTGAGTTTAGTCAATGGTGCAGAAAAAACAGCTGTTGCAGCTGACTTAGTCACAAGAAAAAGATAATAAAAGCAGAAACGTGTCTTCAAATAAGAAACTAAAACCATCGGCTCCCTTTTCTGGAGCTAGAGGGAAAACCGTATGATAAAGCAGCTAAAGCTTAACAAATTGCCAATATGTTACCAAGCCTTGAAAACCAATATTTTAATTAGTTTTCTGTCTTTTAAATAGATACACTCATTTTAAGACCATCTTGAACATCAAGACCATTTCTTGATTGTTTTTAGCCATAGCCTAGAATATGAAATATTAACTTTCCATGACAATGGTTATTGGTTCTTGAACCTGACGGTCTTTTCTGCCATTGGTTAAAAATGTAATGATGGTGGATCCCTCCAGCTCTTCTTTCCTTTCATATATCTGCAGCAACTTATTTTTACAGACAGTTTGGCCAATATCGTTAAGCACACAAAAAGCAATTAAGATAACCCTCACATGTTAGTCCGATTTGGGCCAATGCACTTGAGCTGACACATGGACCCAAGTGCAAGATAAAAATATGGGCCAAATGTTTATGGGCTTTGCAATGACCCATATATGGGCAAATGCACTGTGAAACATTAAACAAATAGGGATAAATAGGAGAGCCATGATAATAGTGACTTGGTTACCATTTGTTCTAAATGCTTAAGCTGATCGGAAAGAACCCAACTTACTATAAGCTATAACATAAAGAAACAGCCTTTGGAATCTCTTGTTCAAAAATAAGAAAGGAACAAACAAAGAAACAAAGGAGAAATACCATCATATAACGACAATCACAAGCAGTATTACTCAATATGCACTGCATACCATATAGGCACTGCGTTGCCAACTGAGATTTCTTCAAATCCAAGCCCAAGTATTCCATCAAATTTTGCCACCAAAAAGGTAATACTTGGCTCCCTTGTGGCTTCAATGAAGGCCTGAAATAGCAGCACTGTGAGTTTGCACTATCCATTACACAAGATAGAACCTTCCAAAACTACACGGGGTAGAATACATCAGATTGAAATCCTATGAAGCTCCATATCTAATTGTTGGCAACAATGTCATGCGATGGGATTAAGAAACTATAAAGGCAAAAATTGCATGATTGACTGGGATTGGAATTCCATAGGATCCAGACCTGATCCTTAATAACAATGTCACCAATTGTGACATGATCTTGACTAAAGAAACCTGATACTGATCCGGTCCCATAGTGAATATTTGCAGTTTTACCTGAAAAGAAGATAAAAAGAATTAGTTTGAAGTGTTCTCCAAAAAAACAAGTTGTTCATTCAACATTCAGGAAAAAGGCAATAAATTTATAGATTCTTACAATTAGTAATATTGTTTCCCAAAGAAAACACTAATTTATAAAGTAACATAAATATAGAGGAAATCATTCAAGAATCTTAAAGATAATACCAGATTATTACTGAACATGGGTGTAATGTGCTATGCAAAGAGGACAGCGGCAAGAACTTCCAAGACACAGCTAACCACATACATATCTGATGACAGCTATGCGTATCCAAGATGATGACTGAGTAGGAACTATTGTGACCAATTAAGATGGTCAATCCAAGCACAAACTGAAATGTTAGTGTATGCTGATATGTAGCCATGAGAAAAAAGCCTACATTTATGTTGATGAGTCAAGATATAACCGTATAAGAAAATCTAGAAGTCCATAAGGCACAGGTGGTTTAAAGGCCTAAATGAAGGTATAACCATGTGAACAGATGGCAGAATCTATACATTAAGTTAAATAACTCAATATTTTCTTAAAATTATTTTTTGGTGAAAATGTTCTTGAACTTCTTACAGTTCAAATCATTGCTAAAATCGAATAGGTAGTCGATCATGATATAGAAAAAAGGCACCTCCATATCAAAATATGGTTTCTTATATCTTCAAAGTACGCATTAAATAGTAAAAGTGGAAGTACTAGTACTAATTATGCAATTAAGGATATAATAGATCATACAAAATGATAATAATCTACAGAGAAGCACAGAAAAACAGAAAATTTTATAGTTCGAGTGCACCTGAAGGTATAAAGCATTGCAAAATATTTATCGTGTTCTTGCAAGCTTCTGTCCCTTTCTTTGCTTAATGAAGACTATCCTATATGAGTGGCCAGCAGTGATGAAAAATTAACAGGTAAAAATTGCCAGTCACAAAGATCTGGCCTTTTAAAATCATAAAATATAAGTAAAAAAACACTGTTATTATAGAACATATTGAAATCGACCTCACAGATCTGAAAACTCGAGGGTTAGTTGTTGAATGAAAAATAATACTATTTGAAGTTCTGTTAACTAAAAATAAGTAATAATTGGTTCACTTAGATCTGACCTTTAAGAACAAGAGTATGAGCATGCATGTGGTAAATCTAAACCAGTGATATCCACACAACAAACAAACATGTATCATTGACGGATTCCAAATTTCTACTCAAGCATGATGCAGGAGTGTCTGAAGTTATTGAAACTTATCTTATGAGAAGTCAGCTATATTGGAATCAGATCCCAGGTAATTGCAATGGCTATTTGTTGCATCAACCATTTAAATAAATATTAAGACATGTCAGCAAAGATTACATGTGAGGTTTCAGAAGTAAATGAAGTTATAGATATTTCATTTTGTAAGGAATTATATGTATAGTGGAATTGATTACCAAATACTTGTGATGACTATTTGTTCCAACTACCAATAGAATAAAAATGACGTTGATTATGATATCAAGATCCTGCCAGTGGATAGATAAACAAAAATAGAGACGAACCATTCTTCTGATAGGTGCTCGACCGGCCCGATTTGTATTTGGCATGGAAGAAACAGGCGACCTGCGCAACCAAAACCACCATAATTATTCCCTTCATGACTTTCCTCAAATCAATCAGTATTGTGAGTTGGCTCACCGAGAAATAGCATTTGGAGGACGGAACCCACAAATTGGAGCTCCCGGTGTCGAAGACGACCGTGAAGTTCTGCGGCGGAGAACCGATCCCAATCTCCCCGAAGTACTGAGCGTTCATGTAGTTCTTGAGGGCGACAATGTTGCCGTCGTCCGGCTCCGCCGGTCCGTCCGGGCCGTGCTCAAGACCGAGACTGTCGCGGAGGAGGGGGCCATACTTACGAGCGGCTAGGACACCGAGCTCCTCCGGGTGAGACAGCCGCGCAGCGAGCCGGCCGTTCCGGTCCAGCGGCCTCTTCTTCAGCCCAATCCTGACGAGGCCGTTGGCGGAACCCGGAAGACAGACAACGAGTGTGAGGAGGAGGAGGCATGCGGGGAATGCTCTGCCCATCTTCATCATGCAAGCTGAAACCCTGCACATTACCGACATGCCGCAAGGAAGATTTGTATACGAAGAGAAAAAGATACGAGAAAGTTACCGAAAGGAAAAGCAGAGGGGAATGAGTCCGTACCAGAAGAAGTGTTGGAGAAAAGAACAAGTGAGGAAGAATAGATTGGAAGATACTAATACAAAGCAGAGGCCAAAGTTGCTCCAGTCAACACCACGGCTTTTGATTTCACGGTAGTACCGATGTGTTTGGGAATCTGTATTTAATGAAGGCCTCCCGTTCGAAACCTTACGACAACAAGATAGGCTTTACGATCATAAATATGACGCTTCCATCTGTGGCTCGACGACGGAGTTGGCTGAGGCACATGAATTTGATGTACGTACGTCGTGCGGCGCAGACGGTGGGGCGCGAGCTCGTTAATGCTGTTGGCTCGGCGTAGGGAAGCCAGGACAAGAAGAGTTAACAGCAGCGACCTACCGATATTGATTGGTCACCAACTCAACTGTCATGCACACAGCGGAGGTGAAACAGATCCTATCTGTGATATTTTGTGGACGGCGTTGCTGTCTCCAGCACACCACAGTGGTCGACAATTATTGATATTTGATGCAGTGAAAGATACCCGTGGATGCATTGATATACAAATATCAATGCAGAGGTCTTGTCACTGAGAACGATATCCTTGTAATATATGATTAACGTAAGATACTTGTGTTCCTATTACATGTGCTCATCTATAAAGAACACTTGTACGTCTAATAAGTTGGTTCAACTTTTTGGCAGTGAAGTGTCTCAACATATGATGATGTACAGAGGTTGTAATCCAGGCTGATGTTGTAAGTTGGTTCAGCTTCCAAATTCTTGAACTGGACAACCATTACCAATTTGCTCGACACCAATTTACTTGATAAATCTTAGTAAAAAAAAAAAAGAACATGAAAAAAATCTTTATCTTCTTGAGCATGGGAAAAACCAAAGCAAAAATAAAACCATAGCACAATATTACCATTTAACATTTCGAGTCTGGACTCAGTTTGATCACAGTACAATGTTGCCATTTAACATTCGCATCTTACCGACCTTCCTAATGGCCCAAAACCAATCACAAAATAATATGCCATATTAGAGAATATTTAGTGCCATGAATAGAAATATACGAGTTCAAGAAACCAGGATGCAAAAATTTTAATAAAAATATATGGGACTTCAAATCAAAATAGCATATCTACAAGTTTCATGGTGAACCAGCACGTACATAAATCATCTGAAAGGAGTTCTTACATCAGCAAATTTCTCGAGTCTTATGCTGAGTTCCATAGCCTAATCAGAGTCAACTATCAAAAACAAACATTCAAAATGTGACTTGTGGTTTTGAATGTTTGTTTTACCTTAAAAGGAGCAATCACACGTCCTTGTAAGTTCACCATCTAACAAATGGTACCCTGCAACAATTATGAAATAATTTTACCTTAAAAGGCTTCAAAAGTTGACAGTCTCTAAGCAGCTCCTTTTCTGAAAGCTGGTGGTTTTCATCTTGATACATTCACGACACCTTTACAACCTATGGCAGAGAGACAAGTGTAATTACACCAGATAAAAAAGGTTAAACCAGATTGCCCTATACTAAGAGTTCTACATGTTCACTATGTCATGAACAAATATAATTGTCTAGTATGTCTCGCACTACCATAACTATGTTGGAATTGCACCGATATTCTGTAGTGCCTATACAAGTCTCAAAATGCTTACTGACAAGAATTATCTAGAAAGGGAACAAGGAGGCAGCAAAGGCAGCTTAATTAAAAGACAACTATAATGCGTCTAAGAGAATAATATCAAGATACATTTTGATCCAGATAAAAAGCATTTCAATCCACTGGCTTCCAAGATACTATAAGAGAAGACCCTTGAAATTTGCTACAGCTTACAAGTACTTCACCTGCTTGAAACTTTCAGACATGCTATGTGGTTGTTATATGCCCTATCAAAATCAATATTACTATTATGAATTTTCATGATCCAGTGATGTGATTGCAGAAAATGTACCAGGACAAAGCATGCCTCTAACTGCTCTTAGCTGGTTTGTAGCCATGACCTTGAGCTCCAAACTGATGTGATCACAGAAAACATACTTGTCCAACTTGTTAAATGACTTGCAGTCAGGACGCAACCATGAACAGATAGATACCAAAAGACGTCTTAAAAACAGAATCACAAATATGGGTAGAAGTAGAACAAGATGTTGAGGGGAGGAAGAAAAAGGTACAAAGGAAGAAAATAAGTGTTGGCCTCTTACTCCATTTAGTCCACAAAACTACCTAATTCCCAGATTAACACACTGTTGTTTCTGGAAGTATAGCCTTATACCTTGTCCATGGACCTATAAACCCCATTGTCAAACTCTGATTACCACTCATGGTTTTTTGCGACATTAGTCAGTATCAGATCATTGGATCATTCTCTACTATTATCACATCAAGAAAAAATTTTGCCTTGCATTAAAAAGTAAGAAGAATTGGAATCTTCACAAGACACTTGTGCATGTTGAGAAAACATTTGTGAGAGCATAGAATTATGACAAGCACTCTGAGCATTAGTCAAACAACTGGTGACTGTAAAAACCGAATGATGTAAAATGAAATGTTGGTGGCATGCAGCAAGAGTTCAAGTAAATGTTTAGCAATATATATGCATGTGCTTATATACTATATATATATATGTATATACATACATATGCACAAGACACATATACATGTACACAAGTTCAGAAGATACCGGTTCTATACTGAAACCAGAATCTTGTCAGAGTATAACAGGTCAACCTGTATAGTGTTGATAATGGTCTAAACAATCCAAAATTTTTAAATAATGTTGAGTGTTGGCATCCTTCAATTTTTATTTTTCTGAATAGAAAGTTGGCATCTATGCAGCTTCATTCTAATAAGTAAAGAAGCTAGTTTCTGGAATCGAACCTTGGTCACTCACCTCGCAAGAGAACAACCTAACTCTGACACTAAGGGTTTGCCCTCTATAAACAAGCATTGGAAGCAACCAATATTATTGTCTATCCTAAAACAATGGTAATCACATAAAGATGATGAACTTTTTATACCTCTCAATGCAGAACTTAAGCCTTCAATGGTAGATGTAATAGCAGCACAAGCAATCTGATTAAGATCTGCCTGAGGTTGTTGCACCCAATATGCCAACATGAAAACAGATACTGCATGAACATATTGTGTAACATGTTTGTGATAAGAAAAGTTTAAATTAAGAGATTCATCTAAGAAGGACTTAAGAATTCTTGTGAGCCACAACCATGCTTATGAAAAGATATCTGGACATCACAGGGTACAAATGTACATATGGACTCTCTCTGCTTATGGGCAATACCAGCAACCATATGTGACACTGAGCAATTCAATCCACCGAAAGTATAATGTACATTCCAATGGATCTTTTACAACAGCATTACATTCTCAACTCAGACTCAACAGAGAGCACATAATTCACTTCAAAGAAAATGAAGGTTGGCGAATTTAGCAAGAACAAATTAGAAAGAAGGAAAAACATAAAGAGGCAAATAACTTCCTAGCAACATAAGAAACCCACATTAGTGAAAGATACAAGACCAGAAACCCACTATAGATGAAGCTTGAAGTCAAGCTTCTCCATCCCAAGAACCAATACGATGAATATAACCACTGTATCTAGAATATGATCATGCTTTTCCTGTTTTTGGTTCCAGTTGCTGGAGAAAAAGAAACGGATGAACACCAAAAAGCGGTATGAAGATCTAGAACAAGATGGGTTCAACGGTGTGAAAACGCTAAAGATGATCATAACCATGACGACGATGTGGAGCAGGACGAAGCGAAGAGAAGAAACAGCTCACCACTTCCCGTCACCCACCGGAGAAAGCGGACCAATCGCCATCAACAGTAAGAACCCCAAGAGCAGGGCCAGCGACCGTTATCCCATTAGCGGTTGCTAAGATTTCACGAACGGCTTTCGAAGGCCGGCAATCAAAGAGATCGAAACCCTTCATCTCCTCCTCCTCGTCATCAAGAACAAACCCAAGAGCAGGGCCAGCGACCGCCATCTTCTTTAGCGTTGCTAGGATTTCAAGAACGACATTCAAAGACCGCGATATCCTACTCCTCATCGTCCTCCAAAGCGGAGGGGGAAGGGGCGGACGTCGATCGCCGGTTTGAAGGCGGATTGGCGGGATATCCTGAGGAATTTCCTGGGGAGGATGATGGTTGGGTTAGAGATCCGCGGAAAAGGTTGGCGCATCGAGGAGATCGTAGAACTCGGTGGCTTCGCCATGGAGGCAGAGAAGAGGCGGGAATCGGAGAGATTAGGGTTCTCTCGGTTGGAGAAGGGAGGGTTCGGCGTGGGTAGGTCATTTCAACCCATCAAGAAACCGTCTCGAAATGGTAACCGAAATAACGAACGCCCTCCGTGGGCCGGAACTGTGGGCCATGTCTCCCACTTGCTGGGCCCCTACAAATTTTAATATATCTTCCAAATATTAAGATTATTACTATATATATATATATTATATTATATTTATATTATATGAGTAAACTTGAGCATTTGGTAATACGAGAAAACACAAAGCATCAGATTAATTTACAGATACGTTCATGAGAGCACAAAGGAGACTCGGTGGGAAATGATAGGGGGAGCTGAAGCATGCATGTCCTCTCACTTCCCGGGGACAAAGTTGGTGGCGTAGGCCCAAGCGTTGTTGTTCACCGGATCCGCCAGGTGGTCCGCCAGGTTCTCCAGCGGCCCCTTCCCTGTGACGATGGCCTGCACGAAGAACCCGAACATGGAGAACATGGCCAGCCTTCCGTTCTTGATCTCCTTCACCTTGAGCTCTGCGAACGCCTCCGGGTCGTCGGCGAGGCCGAGGGGGTCGAAGCTGCCGCCGGGGTAGAGGGGGTCGGTCACCTCGCCGAGCGGGCCACCGGCGATACGGTAGCCCTCGACGGCGCCCATCAGAATGACCTGGCAGGCCCAGATGGCGAGGATGCTCTGGGCGTGGATCAGGCTGGGGTTGCCGAGGTAGTCCAAGCCGCCCTCGCTAAAGATCTGCGCGCCGGCCTTGAACCAGACGGCCTCGCCGAACTTGACGCCGTTGCGGGCGAGGAGCTCGGGGAAGACGCAGCCGAGGGCGCCGAGCATGGCCCAGCGGCAGTGGATGACCTCCAGCTCCCGGTTCTTGGCGAAGGTCTCGGGGTCGGCGGAGAGGCCGGCGGTGTCCCAGCCGTAGTCGCCAGGGAACTCACCGGTCAGGTAGGAGGGGGGCTCGCCGGAGAAGGGGCCGAGGTACTTGACGCGGTCGGGGCCGTACCAGGGGCTGCCGGAGGAGACGGGCTTGGACCTGGCGGCACTCTTGCGCATGGTGATGCGGCCTTCGCCGAGGATGTCGGAGGCCGAGGGAGCGAGCTTGACGGCCTTACCAGCGAGGGAGGGGGAGGAGAGGGCCATTGTGGCAGCCATGGTTGGATCAGGGAGAGGGTGGTGAAGTAGAAGGAAAAGCCTTGGAGGAGTGCCTGCTGTGAGAGGTGATGGCTGCAGGGGTTTAATAGCAGAAGAGGGGATGGGAGTCCTTATCCATGGAAATCTTTATCTTGGTTTTGATTGGCTACTGAAGTTTCAGGTGGCGGATGAGTTCCAGCGTCTGGCAGTCCATCATCCACAACTTAGAGTGAGATACTCGTTGGATCTTGTGTCGATTTCGGTGGTCGCAGTGTCTCCGAGGTTTGCTACCACACATCTGTTCTCGCTGCCAAAGGGCGAAGAAGCTTCCAGATGCAACTAGAAATCTTGAATTAGATGATGTGGTCTTGCTCTGGTCCAATAAAAATGGTGGAAACGTCATCTTGGCAGAGTAGCAATCCGATCGATTTTATCTTTCTTTTATTTTATGTTGACTATATCTCCAATTTAGATGTTGAGATATTATTTTCCCCACAGTATCCCTCAAACACTGTGTGAATGAACACTATCAAAGTTTATACATCCGTGTACAAAACTTTGATACATCCATCTACAACGTGCACAGTTAAAAATGCTCAAACTCAAATTAATAACTCTTATAAATCAATCAACATCTGAATCGACTTTCAATATGGATGAGGAAGCTTTTCTTTTTGGGAGGAACTGTCAAGCTGTAAAAAGATCAATTTCTTTTTTTTGGACGTTCTCAAGAGCTCAGTGGTTTGTATAGCTTAGTTTTGTGAGATAAACAAAAAGATACAGGCATCCAATTCAAGACCTCCACGCAGATGACATTTCTGCATAAGAGGGAGCTTCCATGAGCCACCCGATTGACGGCTGGAAGGCGGAGAGGATAGCGGGGGATTCGGAACGCCTCTCCCATCTGCGGCTAAACGCAATCAAAGGAGAACTCACCGGCACGAGTCAAAACAGGACCTTTCTGACAAACCTAAGTCGCGGCTCACACAGAGAAGCCGACGGACCTTACCACGCACCACTTGCCGGGCACATCAACGGTTGCGATTGAAGCGGTGACTTATGTCGCGTTTGAAGTAGCCCTGGGTTTTGTGTCTGACGGGATGAGGCTTACCTGTCGCGACCAGGGATCACGGTTCGCAGCACTTAACGATAAGATGACGATTGACGGATGGCTGATGGCTGATAAAACTGTTCCCTGCCTCAACCTAGACAGCGGAAGTGACCAGCTGAGCACGGATATAGACGATAGCGGAGGGTTCATAACGGGTAAGAATTGGAGAGGATTTGGATCCGCTATGCTATGCCATGACGTGCCGTGCAGCAGTTGAATCACGTACCGCCGGTAGTCAACCTGGCGGCGATGGAGCTGGGCAACCGCCACGTCACGCACCAATCCCGGTCGCCGCCCTCGCTCCATCAGTGGAAAGATTAGGTTTCTTCTACTTTCCCGTTCCACAGATTTATGACAGCGTCGGGGGGCTTTGCATGATCTCGTCCTGTTCTCGCTTCATCGTCACCCGATCCTTCTCCTCCAAGGTGCGATTTAGATCCCTTCTTTCCCGCTTGTATGAGCGATTGCGTCCTGCCAATTTACTAGCGTTACTTGCTTACTAATCTCCCATTGGAACTAACATGTGTAAGTTACTGTTTTCTCATCTTCTATGGATCTTGATTTGTAGATGACCTTCATATTATTCGTATAGAAAGTTGGTATTTAGGGTAATTGTCGAGGCATATGTAGTCGTTGTGGCAGATGGCCCATGTTGATTACTCGTATAGAGTGATACGGGTCCTCTTGATTTTGGAATTCGTGGAAGAAGGAGATGATGAGCAAATAGCCGATGGATTCGAGTAAAAGGATTTTCAAGTGGGATCATTTGAACAAGCTCGTTTTAAAAGGGCAAAGGCTGGAACACGAAGGGGAGGGTTCAAGAAAACGAGACTAAACAACTAAATTTCTGATGTGCTCTGATCCATTTGATCAAGACCAATCATCATGTAAAATCGTTCCTTATCACAATTTCCAATTGGCTCAAGGAAAGATTACAAACAAGAAATTTACTTTCAGTAGTGCAATTATTCTATGTTTTATATGCAAACATAGAACGGGAACAAAGACCCCTAAAAACTGAGTTAGATTTCATGCCTTAAAATGGTTTAGAATTCTTTCCTTACGCCTAGCATCTATTGAGTATTGCTACTATCACTGAGGCATCTTTCAAAATTCCAATTGTAGAAGCAGCACAATGCTGCAGCATCTCTGTATTTTGCTTCCACTATGGATATTCATTACTATTAAGGTTTATATGCCTAATTGTGATGGATAAAGTAATAACATATAATCAATCTAACTTGAAGCAGAAAATATACTTTCGAGGGGTTTTGCTTTTAATTCATTGGATATTATGAGTTTGAGTTGTTGACATTGCTATGTGGGAGGTCTTTTCATAGTTAAAATCCTTGCGGTTGTTCTCCCACATGTAAATGCAAGTGCTAGAGAAAGGTTATGTGATACAGACCCAGTGTCTTATGTTCTGGTTGTGTTTTGACGTGCCGTGCCATTTGGTGGAAGTCTATAGTATGGAACCCTGTTTTTCAACACTATACAATAATTGGAATAAACAGGGATCAAGTGCGAGAAGTATACATAACCAAAATGTGTCGACTAATAAAAATAGGTCTTTTTGTTTTCTAGTGTTTCAAATTCATATCTAACTTGGGTTGTCTTATGTCCAGACATGACTTTACCACCCAAAAGCCATCTAAAAGTTAACTCAATTTTTTTACAACTTAACAATAGAAAGCTACTAAATAAGACTAAATTTCAAGCATCTCCTGAAAATTGTAATAGAACTCTTGAAATATAGATGCAGTAGATTGTAATGTGAACCTCTATTATTTGCTTCTTATTCATCAGAATGTTTTGAGTGCTGGGCCTCATCTCAGCATCTTGCAACTGTCTCATTAAGATAGTGTGTATTGTCATTCTGAAGGCATCCTGACACACCACATTCTGTGTTAGTTGGGTTTTGCTGGCTGGGATGTAAGTTACTAATACGAAGCAACCTTGTGAAAGTTAGGGCTATGTTTTTTATTTATATCAAGGTTTGACAGCACCCGTAACTCCTGGATAATGTACATGTCAATATTTTCTCTTCACAAATCCTATAATGCTTTCCTATCAACTTCTGATTGATGTACATGTCAATATTTTCTCTCATCTCACTTTCGTTACACTTTTGTATACTGGATGAGGTTTTTATTCTTCGACATTCTTCCACTTCTTGTTTGACCATATTATGTCTTTCATTACATTCTTAAGATGGCTCGATCAGCATTAGATGAGATGACAGAATCTGGTGCATTCAATCGCACACCATCAACTTTCCGCAATTTTATTTCAAAAGACAAGACTTCTCAATTTCCTGCAGAATCTGGAAGGTATCACTTGTATATATCATATGCATGTCCTTGGGCATCAAGATGTCTTTCATTTGTGAAGCTCAAAGGACTTGACAAGGCCATCAGTTACACGGTGACTCTCTATATCCGAGGAATGTTTATCTTAGGAAAATATATAATAACATTTGAGCAATTGCATCTGATAGGCTGTCAAACCAATATGGGAAAGGACAAAGGAGAGCGATGAACATTTTGGATGGGTTTTCCCTTCTAGTACAGAAGAACCTGGAGCTGAACCTGATCCCTTGAATGGAGCCAAAAGTATTAGGGAATTATATGAGCTGGCTAGCTCAAACTATATGGGGAAATATACGGTGCCTGTATGTATTCTGTCTATTGAACTATACTTTTTTTTTTTTTCTTTCAGTGTACTCAACAAGTGACCTTCCTTTCGCTTTATCTTATTTGGCAGGTTCTGTGGGATAAAAAACTTAAAACAATTGTGAGCAATGAGAGTGCAGAAATAATCCGTATGTTCAACACCGAGTTTAACGATATAGCTGAGAATGCAGACCTGGATTTATATCCATCTCATATGCAAGCTTTGATAGATGAGGTCAACGAATGGATATATGACACGATAAATAATGGGGTATACAAATGTGGCTTTGCCAAGAAACAAGGTCCTTATGACGAGGTAACTATCTACTACAACTGATTTTTTTTTTTCCTTCACTTGAAGTGGATTATATGACTATCAATCTTTAAATCATGAAAACAGCCTTTTCACTACTTTCTGGTTGTCTAGGCCGTTGAAAAATTATTTGATGCTTTGGACAAATGTGAAGAGACTCTCAGCAAGCAACGATATATTTGTGGGAATACGCTAACTGAAGCTGACGTTCGCTTGTTTGTCACTCTCATCAGGTTCGATGAGGTATGTACCTCAAAATTTAACACAGCCTAACATCATGAAAAGTGAGCTGATGCTTTGTCTTTTTTCCGGTTTATTTTTGTTAGAATATACAATCAATTGTGTATAATTTATGGAATTCAATATGCAAAATAAGATTTTTGTGTGAGCAAATGATTGCTTTAGGCATCTGATTGTTCCTATTTTGATGTTTGTACAGTGCACAGATTGTTTTGCAAGACTTGTTTAAGAGAATATTTTGAGGCAGTGTCCTATGCATTTGACAAAAGCAAGTTTTAAGATGATATAACTAGTCAGAAACTTAATTTTAGCCGGAGTAAGATGTAACCATGTGACCTTGACACTGACCAGTGAGGAAGACAGGACTAAATCTGTTTGATTTGTTTTAACCATAATATCTGCACTGGCTTCAAAGTATTAACCCATGGAGGTGGCTGTTTCTCATTTGGGTGGAAAAAATGATATTCCTTTTTCTAATTGGAAATTTGAATTTAGCTTATTGGCAAAGGCCATACATATGGATGAACCTTAGCGGCCTGTGGCCTTAATGAGCTGGACTACAACTAATTCTGCTTAACCTTTAGAAACCAAAAGAATGTTAGTCTGATTCATCATGTTTGTATGCTAATGTTCCATCTATCAGAAAGTTATGAGCAGAACAGACATCTATCTGAGCTCTTGTAAATGCCTGTCCACAACCATTCTGTTTGGCCCAGTGTTAATCAATGTGATTTGCATACCCATCTCGAAAAAGGAAAATCTTTTAGGCTCATAACAAGAGACAAAATGGAAATCTAAGGGTTCAAAGATATCTGGGACCAAGGAAGGGTGGAAGGAGCTTTGCTATGTTTGCCATGAAACCAATAAAAATTAAAAAACAAGACAATGTGAGACCTTTAGTGGCACATCTGAATTTCACACCATTGAAACTACAGATGAAACTTCATCTGGTAACTTTTGGTGGAATGGCTAGTGCCATCTCTTCCCCAATTATAGTTAGATTGAATTGTAAGCACACCCTCAACAAAACATTTATGTTCTGATTCAATAGGTTGCTCTAATCACAGGGGAAGACACTTTTGTTTTTATTAAGATACTGTTGAATCTGATGTCTTAAATGTCTACTAAGGTGCTTTATTATTTGCATTGGAATCTGGATAAATATTGACTATGCTTCCGTGTTTCTCGTATCTGTAAACTAGTTTATGACTGGTATCGATAGATTTCTGGTTTTCAACCTATCGACTGTACTTTTAAAAAGCATCATCAAATTAGGCCATTAGACTATAGTATGTTATTTCGGATGCCCACTCGATCACTGAACTATATGTGATTTCCACAGGTCTATACTGTTCATTTCAAGTGCAACAAAAAACAATTGCGTGAATATCCAAATTTGTTCAATTACACCAAAGACATATACCAAATTCCAGGCATGAGCAGCACGGTGAATATGGCACACATAAAGAAGCACTACTACGGAAGCCATCCTTCTATCAATCCGTTTGGGATAATTCCAGTTGGTCCCGGTGTAGATTATTCTTCTCCGCACGACAGAGAAAGATTTGGGTCTTAGGTTTCCGCCTAAGTTGGTTCCTCGTTCTTCTGAAGAAATTACCTACCTATATGGTTGCTCATGATGATCAAACTTTCTGTTGTACTATTCGGACATCTGCGTTTCTATAGAATCGTATATCAGACTGGTTCATTGAACTAATGATGTAATCAAATGCAAGTGGATTTGGCAATCTTAAAAGTGTATTAATTTATTTTCGTGTTCTTCATGCTCATGTGGGACAGTTCAACAAATTTGGGTACGTATTGATGAACCAAGGTATAGATTGGCAGTGGATTCCATGATATCAGGATTGCAATGTCTGCACATGATATCAGTAGCCAATGCAGCAATTTGCTGCACCAGAGAACATTCACATGGCACACAGAAATGTCTGGGGATGAACCGTGACAAAGGCTAGGAAACACGGGACGGTCCGTGGAAGGGCAACGTGATGGCATGTGAAGAGATGAATGCTGGAAAAGCAGTGATGTACGCAGAACAAGAAGCATCGTTCTCTTCACAGCGTTGAGGAGACCCAAAGGGCAAAAAGTAGAGTCGGTCCCTCCTTTTTGGTTGCACTGTGGCTCGCCGGAGGGAAGAGAGGCGAAAAGGTCCGTTAAGCTGAGGTGCCATCGGAGATGCGACGGAATCGGGACCCAAATCGTGTCACGAGGCGTTTCTCTGGGGCCCACTTTTCGCAATCTTGTCGGGCTCGCCCGAGAATCCAAACCAGCGCGGCCACCGACACGTAGGCCACGTGGAGTATGCGCGACTCGTAGGTCTCTAATAACATGTTTCTGACCGGGTCCCACTCCGGGCCCGGTCAGGGAGCTTGCTTTCTTATCCCCCATCATCGACAGCTCGCTCTCGGTCTCGCTTCCACGCTGAAGAAGACGACCAGGTTCGATCTCCTCCCTCCTCCTACGGCCAGCAAACAGAAGGGGTAGAGAAATGGCAAGAGGAGCCGCGAGAACTCCCTCCTTCGTCTTCCTCTCTTTTGTGCTGCTCCTGATCTGCTTCGCCACAGGTTAGCTCGTGACTTGCTTGATCCCTTAGCCGCTGTTTGTCGCCATCTTCTTCTGATCTCTGCTCTAAACCTTGTGATGACAGGGGGAATGCAGTCGGTGCAGGGGCAGGTAACACCGACGGACCTAATTATGCGCCTCACTAACTGTAGTTGTTCGGCATTTTGCTTCCCGAACTGTGCTCGTCTTGTCCATTCCACCCCATGTCATGGAAGTCGATGCAGACGTTGTCGTTGCTTTGTTGCAGAAAACTTGGTGCGTAGCGAAACCTTCGTCGGACGAAGCAACTCTTCTGGGAAACATCAACTACGCCTGCTCTCAGGTGGACTGTAGCGTGCTGCAGAGGGGCCGCACGTGCTTCTACCCGGACAACCTCATGTCCCACGCTTCCATCGCCATGAACCTCTACTACCAGTCCAGAGGAAGGAACCCGTGGAACTGCTTCTTCAAGAACTCCGGCCTCGTGGTCGCCACCGACCCAAGTGAGATCTCCGATCATGTGCCCCATTCGAACGACACCCATGTAGATCTCACACACATTTGTTCTCTCTTACCTTTTGCAGGTTATGGGAGCTGCGGTTATGCCTGAACCCCAACCAAGAAGACAACACCGAAGAGTGGCTTTCTGCATTGTTATGATGGATCTGATTCTGGTTGGTTGTAGTGAGAATTTGTTGTTGTCTTGCTATTAGAGAAACCTTTAATTGATTCCAGGATAAATGTAGCACATCTTGCAGCATTTCTTCCACAATCGAACTCTGCATGCATTTAGAAGTTTTCTACCGGAGGTATGGATGTCATGTGGGATTCAAAGAGTTCGTCTGCAAGGGTTGCAGCTTTCACGTGGAAGAAAGATGGGGACATACACTGCACAAGGTTTTACTAAGTGACTCGACAAAAGCGTGATGCAAAGCTGCCTATTCGACTAAATAATCCATTCATTCATTCGTGCCCAGTAAGCTAAGCTCGAGTCTTTATCATCCAAGTAAACAAACAAAAAAAAAAAGATCACCTTCGAGCGCTCCTGCACTTGAAATCCTACTCATCATGAGGAGCGAAACATAGGAATTTATCTCATGATTCAGTACTATAAATCTAGTATGATCCACCTGAAGACAAGCTTCGCACTGTTGCCTACATGAATTCGAAGGACGGAATGGGTGGCACGTACAGAACACGGGCACCGACAGCTTCGCTTCAGGCCAAGCAATCCTGAGCTGGATCACCATCAAGAAGCGTGCGAGTCTCACTGTGGAACGAGCTCGTTCGGGCTGTGTTGGAATGCGACAGTTCGCATGTGATCTGAGAGGACCGAGATGTACAAAACACTAGAATATGTAGTTTGCATTAACTTTTATCTGATGCCCTTCGGTAAAATATTTCTCGATCATGAATATGTATCATAAGCACACCAATTAAGTTATAATTATAATGCTCAGCTACAAGCAGCAGATTTGAGCAAAGGATTTTAATTCGACATGCAATATTATCTTATTTCAGATTTTCTCATTGCCATTCCATGAAGCTGAAGATAGATGAAGCGATAACCTTCTCACCAAGAAGGAAGACAAACTAGGATGTACAAGAAGATGACAGGCAAAAAACACTCGAGGTTGTGACAAGGAAACTGCAGTTAGGATTAGAAAACGATCGAGTTTGATAATAAAGTATCGTCTTTCCGATGCCTAGTCGAGAACAGACTCCTGTCATTTGGTCATGGAAATTAAATTACTCAGTGAAGAAGGATCACGAGAAGTTTTCCTTCCATTCCTCTGGTAAAGATGACCCAAATACTTGGGATAATGTTAGCTTCTGCCTCTTCGTGAGTTTGTTGGGTATTCCGGCAACCGAAATCCCTCTCTTGAGTGACTCGCGCCCATATTCAACAGATTTTCTTCTCAGAGAGCACAGCAAAGCAGATGGCTTGGTTACGATAACATTGTCCTCTGCACCAGAATCAGGTTCTTCGCCTTCATTTGATGAGTCCTGTACCTCTTGATTGTCATCCTTCTCGGTCGTAGTTTCTCCTTCTCCTGGCACGGTCCTTTCGGTTTCTTCTAGCCTGCTGATTCCCCACCATTTGAATGAAGTTGACGATAGACCATTTTCTGGAAAACCATATTTGAAATCGTCCATGAACGTAGGGATGTTTTTTGATTGGTTTTGATGGAGCACATTTGGCCATCCGTTTTGAGTAAACCTACTTCCTTGCAGTTGCGAAACATGCCCTGGCATGGAAACTCTCTGCATTTTGGAAGATTCTTGAGCAGGGTTCGGTGTTCTGTTTCAAAATTCAAAAAAATTGCATTAGGCAAGGCTTATAGGAGCAAGCAAAGAATTAAATTGTTACTTGCATAAGAACCTACACTATGACGTCCAGCATCGACAAACCACTGACGTATGTATTCACAAATAAAGTGCAAATTATCTATCAAATAACTAAAGAAGACCATGTTTGAACTGCACAGATGACGGCTAATTTTTCTGCTTCTTGTAGTGTCATTAATATAAGTTAATGATGAACACAGATTCAACAAATTTTCCATATAGGAGAAAGCTGATGTGTTAATATGTTTGCCTTCTCTGCGTGCTTTTCAGACCTCAGAAATCCCTCTAGAAATAACGTTGGTTCACTTTTTTATTGAAATATAGCTGACATTCTTGGTTTTTTAAGGTCTGGAGCACAAGTAGGGGCTCCTCGCCAAGTTGTGTGTACCTCCAACATGCCGCCTCCAAATATGGCAAAAGCATGAGACATGTTCGACTCTAGAAATATTATCTTAGTATATGAATTCATGCTTCATAATGCCTCCAATATTGCAAAAACATGAGACATGTTCAACCCAACAAACATTATCTTGTATATGAATTCAAGTTTCATTAGTGATCATCAAATCGTGGTGCATCTAGAATAGCAGCAGAAATATCTGTTTACAAAAAAAAAAAAAGAACAAATAAAAGACAAGAAAATTGAGAGTTATATCCTATTGCAGAAAGATAGATCTATTCAGTTCAAAAAATAATAGAAAAAGAATATTCTTCTTCCAGTAATAATTCTCTACATCAAAGCAGTTCAGCTTAGGTCATCGAGCCCCTCTTTTCACAGAATAGGATGATTCACATTATTTCTGTATCATTCCGCAAGGAATAAGTACTGTATTTATAACAAAATTCCTTATGCACATACTAAAATATGATTTTCTAATTAGTCATGGTGACCTGAAAACCATGACCTGGGTGTTATACGCTAAAGCTAGTGTTGCAGGTTACTGGTTACAATTTAGTTAGGTTTTGATGATACTCGTACGGAAAAAAAAAAAAAAAAAAAAATTAAGGGCATGAAAAATTAAGGCCACATCCTATTGCATACAAACATTTCTAACTAGATACAAGCTAAATAAATAGCAAACATTAAAGGCATGGAAAATCTAAATAGGCACTCCAAACACCCCAAGTAGTAAACATTGTAATCTACAAAGATACAAGATGACATTATTTTTTTCTGTAGTTGCTAGTAAATACTTCCATGATTATTAACTGAAGACAAAATTGCCATATTTGTTTGTAAGGATCAGAGGTCAATCGGTTTCCTCAATGCATCTAGAGACAATAATTAGCAGAAACTTGGTCACAAGAGTTTCATATAAAGTTCAGGCCATGCAATAAGCAATATAATGAAAGAGATGGCATCAATTTTAATTTTAACCAGTCAAATGTCCTACGTGCTCCTTGCGATAACTTAAAACTGCTAAGACTAAAATTGACAAAATAAGATCATTAGACGAGAAATGTGATTATTGATAAAATAAGATAAGTTCCAGCAATAGGTGAGTCACAATAACAGAGCCAAAACTTTGTCCTATCAATTTGGCGATTAGCATTTTTATAAAGACTTGATTCACTATCACCCCGAAGTCAAAATGGATAAAACTGTTCACATAGTTATAGGATGATCATTTGGCATATTTTCCTTGCAAACTCATCCAAGAGGGCACATTTTTTGCAACAATTTGAAGAATAGCCTACAAGCATAACATTCATACACACGGGTTAAATGTTTTCTCCAAGTAATTCTATCAAGTAGCAAATACTAGCTGCAGATTAGTTGAGAACTCATGCCTTCCTAAGCATGCATCGAGTAAGAATCCTGCAGAACAACTGCCTGTGAAGTTGAAATAAATACTCATGGCAAGACATTTACATGGACAAGATTGTGTTTAAGATAATATTTGATGAAGTTTACACTAAAAAAAAGCCATACCTAATAAAGCATGATAAATTAGAAGACAAAGATATGGATGGAGATGCATTATACTTTTCACTGAACAAGAAAAGTAAGTATACTCACAAAGCTGATAAGGAACCAACTGGCGATGACATCACATTGGACACATCATTCTTTTGGTTAGTCTTCGATAAATCAGCTAGCTCCTTACTTCTCTCCTTAGCAATATCTCTTCTAATATCTTCTACAGTCTTCCCAGCAAGATACTAAAACAACATGACCATTTTAATTTTCACAATTGAAGATACATTTCTACGAAGAACAGAACAACACAACAAAGTTGCTAAAAACAAGACCAAATTCCTAATTATTTCTTCTAGAATGCTTTATAAATAAATACCAAATATGATAACCAAAATGATAGATAATTATGTTAGCAAAAGATCATTCAGCACAGATGTTAAAATGTAAAACGCAAGGTGGAACAGTTTCCAAAACAATACAATCACATAGGTACTGTCAGTTTGACTAGATAAGTTGATAAAAAGCAACCATCATTTCCATTGTAACTGGAGATGGATCGAGCACTTATCTGTTGTGAATTAAAGAGAATGTAACATCTGAAGGACATGAAAGAATTTTAGATTTTGTAATGTGATTTTTCTACATGATATAAAGTCATGTAATAAAATTGGCATGCATCATTCCAGCTCATTGTAATAAAATTGTAAAAACCATTGCAAAATATAACAACTTTGTTTGGAATGAACATCTGAGAAATTGTGCAAGGCTCTTTAATTCAACAATCTAACAGAAAATCTTCATCTACTGCAGAAAAGGGAAAAAAAGAAAGCACAGTCACCGCAGAACATGGATAGTCTTAGCGGATATAGAGGTCAAGGAGAAAAAGAAAGAAAGATGTAGAGGGAAATAAATGGAAAAGAAAAGAAAGGCTTATGACCATATTTGCCATTGAACTCTATGAAAATTATAACAGACACCAAACTGCTACTAAAAGATTATAAATCTCTAAAAGGTTACGTTCAACTGGATGGAACAAATAAAGAACATCTCACGAAATGAACTTAAGAAAAAAAATTTTGTGTTTTTAGAAAGCTTTATATGCAACAGTTACATTGCTATTACACAATTTCAAAATCAACTTTTTTTTTTCATTGATCAGTTTCTGTATATGCCAAAAAGATGGATGAGAAGAGTTTATGTATTCCATTGATAATGAAACATTTCTTGAGATAACCACCACGAAACTAATGAGAAAACTTAAATCAGCAACCTACCTTTCGATATGGCCACCTTACAATGCCATAGTCGCGACATATCTTCTTCAAGACACTTGTACAGACTCCTATAAAGCAGCATTCGCAACTGTCAGATGGAAATTGTATAATTACATTTGAAGCCTGATTTTAAATATAAAAAATGTAACAGAAAGTAAAATAGAAAGCCTTAAAATGTTGAACTTAGAAGGATTTATATTGGACCAGTTATGAGATCTAAAGAATGAAGTAGCTGATGGCTCTATGTGACATACTTTTGGATGGAGTAGTTAATGACTCTATGTATTAGGCTATAGCTATTAATTCCCAAAATAATGGAGTGGACCATGGCTCTATGTATGTGACTTATCTTTTAAGAAAAGTGGTGATCCAATTTCTCTCTTGTCACTCCATGAATTATCTTATTTCTTTGTATATTCTTCATCGCTGCTGCTGCTGCTGCTTTTATTGTTTAATATTTCTGTTATTGATGTGTTTATAGTCCTACCTACCCTGCAGTAGATTTCCTTCATCTAATTTCTTCCAGTTTAGTGATTGCAACTTTGCTATTATTGTCAAAGATTGATCTGTAATGTACATCACAACTGCTTGCCTAAATGAATGTTGCTACATCCGATTTCTTGCTTCCCAGTTTAAATTATAAGGAAACAGCAAGCTGCTTGCTAATAAGCTTTCTATCCTTCACATAAATATCAGAACTGATTAATCAAGTCCTGAATGATGTTCCTTCATCATACCATCTTGCCGCTTTCATGCTACACAGCTTTTCCCCATCAAATAGTACACTGAATTCTAGAAATTGTAGAATATGGTAAATGTTCAATCCTCGTGAAAATATACACTCCTGATTCGTAATTCCATGCCTACGCAATCTCTATCACTCTATGTTGTCCAATCCATATGATTCCTTTTAACTTCTATATTCAAGCTTTTCATATTTATTAAATTAAACCTGATGCTTAATCACATACGTAACTGCAGATAAATGGAATGCAGTAACCGACCAAAATAAATGCTCAGCCATGACATGTAAACACAATTTTATTCAACCAAGAGAAAAATCTAACGAACGACAAGTGGCCTCTATACCATTTGGAACAACAAGTCAGTAGCAAGTTATCGAATTCTTATCTCCAGACTTCAGGTATCAGTATCAGCCCAAGCTTGAACAACAAATCTGCCAAAGCCTTGTCTACTGCAAGTTGTACATTTTGCGCTTTCTGGTTTCCATTAGTGTTCCCAAGGTGAAATTTAATTTTTCTTTGTGCTAATTTCATAGTTCTATGTTGAGCCACAATAGTAACAGTATGCTTGAAAGAGAATGAGAACCACCCTCACTCTAATGAAGTCCAGGGATGAGAAGATCGAAGAGGAAAAACCAAAGCCCAAATCCATGCATTCTAATGAAGGGTAAAGTGCACCACAACCGAGTTCCTCAAGAGCACACACAGAAATCCAAACAAACAAAGCCACCCGCCAGATCCCAAATCCAACCGCCAAGAGCAATAAATAGACAACAAATCACAATAAGAAGCGGGAATCGGGGGATCTTCAGGAGGGTTCGGGTGTGGTTACCGAGGACGGGGGCGGCCTCGGCGATGGGAAGCGAGAAGAGCTTGGAGATCTCGTCGAAGGTCAGCGTGCCGCTCGGTGGCGGTCGTGCTTGCTGTTGCTGTTGTGGCCGAGGAGACCGAGAGGCAGAGGCCTCCAACTGTTGGGGCGCGGAGGTCATTTACAACCCAATCAATAGATCCTAACCCAACCCAAATCTGAATCTGCTGTGCGAGGAGGACGAAGCAGCAGGGGGCGGATTAGGGTTTGGGCTTGGGGGGTTAATTTTGTGGGTTCATGTGGATTTCCGGGGTGCGAATTAACAGATCGGCTCGATTCCTCCGCCTCCGATTTCTAGGGTTGGGCGCAATATGATACCTGATACCTGCCCAAAAAGGCATACCCAGGTGACTTATGTACGTCCGTGCGAACCACATGGTCTTTCTTTTCTTTACGGCATTTTACACAAATATATATATATATATATATATATATATATAGAGAGAGAGAGAGAGAGAGAGAGAGAGAGAGACTGAACTTTCATCATATGATGCCTCCTAATTATGATTTTTTTAATTTATTTTAATAAAAATATATCTTTTTTCTTTGTTAGAAATCTTTGATCGTGTAAGTGGTAAACATTGTTCGTCCTTCCATGTCAATCTTTATATAATGTCATCGATGAGCAACAATACTCTCCCCCCTCCTTCGATCGTTTATGTAATGCGAGCTAAGCATAGGTGAACAAAGAGAATGCTAATAATGATGAATGAAATACTGTGATAAAGAATAGACATTACCTTTTATACATTCGTGAAAGTGTAGTCGTTGCTACGATACAGCAGTAAAAATGGATAATGTTAAACAAAAACAATATAAAAGGATGGATGATATAAGAAAAGGAGGAGTAGAAAAAGAGGAGGCCACGACAACGATGGTCGGAGTGGAAGGTAGAGAGATATTTTCGTTAAATTAATAAAAAAAACACATTAGGTGAAAACTAATTAGGACGGTAGTTTTTAGGTAAAATATCCTTATATAAGTATATAAAATAAATTTACATAAAATTTGAATTTTTTTTCTCCCACCCTAACATTTTTTTGAGAAATGTCTTACTTTCATTCTTTAGAGTACGCAATAAAGATTTATTGGAAACTTTGGACTGCTAAAAGTATTTGTATTCGTCGCCAACCCCAATAATGAGTAGCTGTCGTCGCCCTTTGGTGATCCCAAATCATATGCTCCAAGTACTGAAATATCTCAATCCTCGCTGTCCTCTTAATAATTAAATCCTAGAAGGTTTGGAAGAACCGAAGGCAGCAAAAACATCACTGACAAGTTGGAGTTAGTCATGCCAAATGCTTTTGTCTGATGCTGATAATTGCAGATGCCCCTTTCCCACTTCGAATCAAGAAGGCCGCATTAGATCTACAACTCATTCTTCTCCGGTGAGAAAACTCGCTATCAGAATCCCAAGGAAAATATGCTCACAAACTTTCAAGCTTTCAAGCTCAGACCACACAGTTCGTACCCTTGCCTTCTCGATGTTCACCCCGGCGAGGACGAGAGAGACAACTGAGATGCCACATATCCAAATGGAAGCACCCAAAGCTCCGAGGCCCACCATGGTTCTTGATGTGCCATGGATGGCTCCCGAGCAACCTACGAGATGGATACAAAACCTTTGTGGGCAGACGACGACGACGCCTCAACAAAACCCATTAACTGCGCGAGAAGATGCTATACTGACACATACAGTACAATAATCACATGACGGAGTTACGCACCGATTGTTCATTCAGCAATGAATTCTATCACAAAACTGGACGTCCTATCAGTGAGGCATTCAATCGGAAAGGACTGCTGATGCGTTCGTAACTTACTGAGTCATTGTGAACTTACTAATGCAAATTGAAAGTACGTGCTGTGGGAAGCCATTTCTGTGTATGTGTGTATCTGTTGATAGAATGGCTTCGTTATTCGTTGAGATGATGTACATACTACGTAAAAGGTGGCACACTAGTAAGCTTATTAGCTCTTACATCAGAAGAAGCATTAGGTTTACTTACTAGATATTTGTTCTGCCGAGAGATAGGCGGAGCAGATTTGTGGAACTGATGAGCCCAATGTAACGTTGAACGTGTCTTCGGTCCACTCATCCTGCATGGCTCTGTTCAAGCGCGCTACAAATCCATGGTGCTTCGCGTCGCAGTAATTCAAGAAGCTCGCCAGGCGTACGTGGTCGTCGTCCTCCCAGCACGAAGCATTGAACGGTGATACGCTGGTGTTGCGGGGCCTGATGGAAGGAGATGCCATGCCGGAGGACATGGCAACCCACTCTGCCATGGCGTCAAGAAGCGATCTCGGGGCCTCGCCTCGCCCATCCCATAGCCAGACCCGCGCCATGCCCCGTTGCACCGCCTCAGCCACGGCCGCTTTGACGTCGGCCGCCTCCATCACGGCCGGGCTCATCCGGACGACGAACTCGCCCGCGCTGCGTCCTCCGCGGACTGCAACCGTGCTGTCGAGGTCTTCGCCGGCCATGTAAAGTGTCACGCGGTCCACCGGCTTCCTGGGAAACGAATCGTCCGGGTAAAGGATGCGCTGCACAAGATTGCTGGAGGCGACGACGAGTCTGGTGGCGCGGTCGTTGGAGACGAACAGGAGGTCGAAGCGCCGGCCTGCGTGGGTGTGCAAGGCGGCATTGACGACGACGATCTGAAAGCCCTTGGCGGCCTCGTAGTTCGCCAACAGAGAGAAGGCCGCGACGACAAGGAATATGGTGAGGCCGACGAGAATGTTAGGGTTGGAGGACTTGGCCGGAGGAGGTCGAGAGTTGGGGACGATGTTAGGAGGAGAAGCAAGGAGAGGCTGCTCCATTGCAGACGTAAGAGTGCGGCAAAATAATGAGTTACATCAACATATATAAGCTTCGCTACAACCGTAGTAATCTTAGTAAGAATGCATGAACAAGAGAACAGAAACAGGAACAAAAATCTGAACCAATCACTCTCACGTCCTATAGATTTACCGCCATGATCTTATCACCTCGAAAAGCTTGACCAGCGAATGGCTCGACGTGCGTTGTCGACTACGTACAGTCGAGGTACTTAGAGACGAGCGTATTGAAGTATGGGAGCTGTCGTCGGCCAATACGTCTAGGGAAGTGGGGCCCGTTGATTTATGAGATCTTGTCTTGTGTAAGGAGCCTCTGTGTGCCGTTTATGATGCCATGAGATTTAAGAGGGAGAGAGAGAGAGAGAGAGAGAGGGAGAGAGAGAGAGAGAGAGAGACAAGAAGAAGACGAC